GGTCCTGCACAACTACATGCTGTGGCGTATCGTGGCTGCTCTGAGCGAGCACCTGTCCACCGCCTTCAGGAGCACCATCCACGAGTTTTCCCGAGAGATCGATGGCACGGAGAGGCAGCTGGAGCTCAGCCGGCTCTGCCTCACTCAGGCCAACAAGCACTTCGGCATGGCCCTCGGCGCCCTGTTCGTCCAGCAGCACTTCTCATCTCACAGCAAGGCCAAGGCAAGCACCGCAACGCACTGCAACACGACACATGACGCAAGACGACACACACACAGACTCAAACATGCACCATCTCATCTCGTCCTGTCCCTCTCACACATTGCACAAGACAACAGAGCGCACTGCAACGCAACGCAACACAAGATGATGCCACACAATGCAGTACAAGATGTGATGTGAAACAAAGAAACAAAAAGAAAAGACAAAAAACAACACATACAACAAAAACAACAACCCACTGGCCACTTTATTAGAAACCTAGAAACCCCTCCCTTGTAGCTCCACCTTGCTGGTATCTCATCTCATGATATAAAGTTTACTAAAGCAATAAGCCACGAGAGGCCGTGCATTACTGTGATTTTACCATGGGGAAGGGTGTTGTTAGGCATGATGCCGAGCGGAGTAAAACCCCCTTCCCTGTAATAAGATCACAGTAATGCACAGCTTCAAGTGGCTTATTGCTTTTGGCCAACATAAAATGTAATAAAATATACAATGTTTCAGAAAATAATTTATTATTACTAATAATCAACATAAATAAGTATTCTGTCAAGAAATGTAGTTCCTTTAGATATAGTATCTTTGCCAAGCAACCATGGACCGCTGAATGAGTAGAACGTTCCGTCACCCATCGCTGTATATTGTGGTCATTTCTTGAATTTTTTAACTTGTTGTCATAGTTTCATAGCCAGAACACTATTTAGGGAGTTTGGAATTCAGCCTGAGTTTGACGAGATTTTTATACTGTCGTTTTACAGTTAATCATACATAATCATACAATCATACTTTTTCGTGCCGTGGCAGTAATACAGAGTTCAGTTGCTGTAAGGTGGTCACAGGTGCGTGTATATCATGGATTTTACAACGGCTTCAAACGTGACTCAGGCAATCAGATTGTAGGACCAGGACTATCCCTTTTATAATGATATTTTTAACACGTATGCTGGCATTTTAAATTTCTTCAGAAAAAAAGAATATGTATATGTAACACCCAAGAGCAAATACACTCACACTCACTGGCCACTTCAACAGAAAGCTTACCTTGTACGCTCTTAGCAGACCCATATCATGGAACACTGAATTTCCTTCGCTTATTTTGGAATAAGTATGAATTAATATGTTCAGTTCACTCCAAAGTCATGAGAACCATGTGATGTCAGAAGAACCAGTTCATTTATATATATCCAAATCACAGTTATGTCACAGCAGCAAAGAACTTACTTAAGTGGATAATGCAAATAGTACTGCACTGATACAGCAGGACTTTGAACTAATCCTGAGACAAATTTAACCAGCATACTGGAAAAACAGCTTTATTTTAACCCCTTAAAATCCAAAGATTATTACATACTAAGGCTTATTATCCAGTGACTACAGGGACTCTGGTGGATCTGGATGACTTGTCATAACTGATGGAATCATGAGTTCCACTCTCTGTCAATAAATCCTGAAAGAGAATGTTCAGCTATCAGTTCGTGATCTAAAGCTCAAGCAAAGTTGGGTTATGGGGCAGTACAATGATTGGAAGCACACAAGAAAGTCCACCTCTGAATGGCTTGGCTGGAGTAGCCAAGTCAAAGTGCTGACTTTCCAATGAATCCCATTAAGATGCTTGCTATGGCTGTGCATGCTCAAAAACCCTCCAGTGTAGCTGAATTAACAGTTCTGCAAAGAAGAGTGGACCAAAATTTCTCCGTTACTTTTTCATCTGGGTGATACAGGTTTTAAATAAATCTTTGGTTTCTTTAAGTGGAATCATCTTTTAAAAGCTGCATTTTGTTTTTACTCAGGTTGTCCCACCAAAGTTGATGTTAAGTTTTTCTCGTGAAATTTATTCTGCCACATGAAACCGAACATTGAGATGAATTCCATTTAAATGCACTTTCATTCACAAAATCTCCGACAAAACACTACGGTGACTGGGTCTTTTGGCTTTGAATTGAAGTATTTACTGAATGATTCACTGTCAAGTGGCAAAATACAAAGTAAACAATGTGTTACCTTAATGTCTTACATGCTTCAAATGTCTGTTTTAGGTAGATCCGCTGGAAGCAGAATTAAGCCCATTGTGGGAAAACAAATGTGCACCACCGTTAGCTTAATGCTTGTATGGCGCATAGATGTGCCAGTGGAAATTAGCATTGTTGTTGTGGTAGTAATTTGGTAAGCAAAAGCTACTTATAAGGCGAAGGTTTCTGCATTGATGAAATGACTGAAATATACATTGGTGCGTGGCTGAAAGCTCTTGTCCTTCAGCAGTCCGTAGTTGCTTGGCAACAGTAGCATACTCTAACCAAGCTACATCTGTTCTTTATAGCAAATATTGGTCAGTAGAATTTAAATTATTTATAGCAAAATTGTATCTGTTGTCCCTGTTTTATAAAAGCAGTAAGCCACTTGAGGACATGCATTACAGTGATTTTATCACGGACAAGAGGGGTTTAGTTCGCTTCACATTGTGCCTAACAACACCTCTTACCTGCTCAGCCTTTCACGGCTGATTGCTTTACCTTTTTTACTTTTTAATAGAATCACACAAATGGCACACAAATATTCCTCTATCTCTTTCTATTATTTCTACCTACTTTCTTACCTTTTCAATCCAGAGCTTTCTCTCACTCACTCTCTCTTCTCCTCGCGTCTTTTCATACATCTACCCTCTTATCCCCCCTACTTTTCACTTCTTCTCTCATCTCATCCTTTTTTCTCTCCCCTTTCTTCCAATCCCCTCCATTTCTCTTTCTCTCCCCACTAATCCCCCTCTCTCTCTCGCTCTCACTCCTAATCCCTCACCTTAATGTGATCTCATCCTCTCTTGTTCCTTTTACTCGCGCTCTCTCTTTCCTCTTTTCACTTGAATGTTTACTTTTTCCGACCCCCCTCCGTCCTTCCCCTTCTCCTTCTCCATGCTGTTCCGTGATGAAGTGATGGAAGGACGGATGGACGGATTGACAGATAGGCTGACGGATGCGCGGATAGATGAAAGGCCGGTTTTCCGAGACCACGCCTCGCCCATATGGCTGCCGTGGCGGGGCGTCTGCCAGATTTAGCCCGTGTTCTAGAAATCGTCAGTCAAACCGTCTGTGTTGTCAGAACGCACTCGGCATTCTCACTTCTTACCTTTTCGTTTGAAGTAGGACTTTTTGAGGTTGCTGCGGGCCATCCACAACGTCTCTACAGTGAAGTCAAAGTGCAAGCAAACAAAGGAGGAGAAGAAGGGTGCATTGGCTAAGACCAGTGTCTGAGACCAACCTTTCTGCTGTTTTAACTTCAACTCCAAAACACTAATAGATTAATGGACAAATGAAAAGATATACTAGGTTTGAACTGCAGTCCGAGAAACAGTGTTTCTCAATCCTGCTTCTGGGGACCTGCTTCCATGCTCAAACACACCTCATCTGGCTCATGCATGGCTTGATAATCTTAATCAGGTTTGTTTGGGCTGAAAATGTGTTCTTCTAGGGCTACTCTCCAGTACAGGGGTTGGTGACCATCAAAGTTGAGGAAAAAAGGACTGCAACTACAGCTACCACCATTCCTTTTAATCGGAGCAAGGATTGAAATGCATGGAAGCATCGGTGGATTCATCATCTAATTAACCTTTTAATCTTATAAGAGTAGCAGGATTTCATAAACAACATGAGCAATATGGTCAACCAGCATGACCAAGCATGGTAACCATGACCAAGCTGGGTAAACAGTGTGACCAAGCATAACCAACATGACCAATATGGTTGACCAGCATGACCGAGCATGACCAAGTTGGGTTAACTAGTGTGACCAAGGATAACCAACATGACCAATATGGTCAACCAGTATCACAGAGCATGGCCAGCATGACCAAGCTTGATACCCAGTGTGACCAAGCATAACCAACGTGACTTGTATGGTTGACCAGCATGGCCAGCACGACCAAGCTGGGTAAACAGTGTGGCCAAGTGTAACCAGCATGACCAAGCAAGTCAAACAGCATGATCAAGTTGGGTAACCATTGTAACCAAGCATAACCAACATGACCAATATGGTCATACAGTACTAAGCACTTAATGATGTGAATGGTGCTCTGAAGCTTATATTCCCACTTGGATAAAGTGAAAGGAAACATGGTAGCACACAGAAAACAGTTTCTACATGCTAATATGTTTCATTATGGCAAACATGGACATGCATTCATCCTCTGGCTGCAGATTTAACTGGGGCCCATCTCAGATTCTCAGAATTGAACTCCAACGAGTTGTTCGGTTTAATGTGTTTAGACCACAGTAAAGTAAAGCCACGTCAGGTACTCTCTAGACGTTTCACTGTCACAGTGACTTAGACGCATAAGCTGCGAAGTAAAATCTTGTAAGGTAGTTCCTGGAGATTTCCTCACAATCCCAGCCATGGTGACACTGAAGCACAAGCTGCTCCATCATCTACTTAAATGATAGTGAAGAAAAATCACGTCAGGTAGCTACTAGAGATCCTCAACATCCCTGTCACAGTAATTTCTGAGCACAAGCTGCTCCATCATCTGCATAAAGGACAGTGAAGGATAATGTAAGCTGGTAGTTACTAGAAATTCCATGTCCATTCTTGCCAATGTGATTCAAAGCACATCATGAATTTATTGCAAAAGATCTCTTCAAGTTTCTCGAGAGTTTCTGACCATTCCTGTCACAATGACCCTGAAGAACAAACTACAAAAAGTAAAACCTCATCAGGTTAATGGAGATTTCTTGACCATCCTTGCCACAGTGACTTCAAATTACATCACAGTTTCTTCAACTGTTTAATCCTATTTGAACCTACCATCTCAGTAATACAGTTAGTCTTGGTCATTATCTTTTTTAACTCATTAAAATCTTTCCTCTGTGGCCATCCAAACTCCAGCATTAAGGAAGTCCCCAGCTCGCGGCCAAATCAAACTATTCTATCACAGTGCAAAGTCTCTGACTCATGGCAAGTCAGGCTTCGCTATCACAGTGCAAAGTCTCTGACTCATGGCAAGTCAGGCTTCCCTATCACGGTGCAAAGTCTACAAAAAGTCCCTGGCTCGCGGCCTTGTCAAACTACATTATCACGATGCAAAGTCCTCATCTTGTGGCCATCTCTGATGGTATGATGGTTCATGGCCACTTAAACTAAAGTGTCACAAGGCAAAGTCCCCAACTTGTGGCCACTCAAACTCATGTCACAGGGCAAAGTCCGTGACTTTCAGCCACTCAAACTTTAATGCCGCAGTGCAAAGTCCCCGACTCATAGCCAATCAAACTTCATAGTTACAGTGCAAAGTCCTTGCCTTGTGGTCACTCTCAGCCAGTCAATCTTCAGTGTTGTAGTGAAAGGTCCCTGGCTCCTGGTCACTCAAACTCCAATAGTGCAGTGCAAAGACCCAGCTTATGGCCACTCAAACTCCAGTGTTGTGCAAAGTTCCCAGCTTGTGGCCACTCAAACGCTGATGTTGTGGTATGAAGTCCTTGGCTTGCAGCCCCTCAAACTCCACTGTTGCAGTGCAAAGTCTCCAGCTTGCATCCACTCAAAGCCCACTATTACAGTGCAAAGTCCCCATGGCCTTATCAAACTACACTATCATAATGCGAAGTCCTCAGCTCATGGCCACTGTGATGTTATGAGGCAAATTCCTTGGTTCATGGCCACTTAAACTCATGTGTCACAGGGCAAAGTCCCTGACTCATGTCCACTGAAACTCCAGTGTTACAGTGCAAAGTCCTTGCCTTGTGGTCACTCAAACTCCAATACTGCAGTGCAAAGTCCCCAGCTCGTGGCCCCTCAAACTCTGATGATGTGGTCCAAAGTCCTTGGCTCTCAGGCACTCCAGTGTTCTTCTACCAAGTTAGATCAGAGTTCAAAACCCATCTCAGTCTTTTAACTGATTTGGACCTTAGGCTAAAAACCTTTTGCTCTGAGTGTAATTAATTATGTTTATCTTATTAAAACAAATAATTAAACTTTTTGTCACTACCAAAACAATCATAAGCCTGCTGAAACTTGACCAATTGTTTTAGTCGTGACTTTTTCGATAGTGACAATTTTAGCAGAATTTAACACTAGCTAGTACATGACTAGCAAACACAGCAGTTGTACACACATAAAAACATAATGTTTTTCATTAAAACACAAAAAGTGTGCAGAAAATGTCCATTTCAGTATTGACAATTTGTTATGTTCCACACTGATTTTCAGGGACATGGGACATGGCCAAAATAAGGCTCTGCCTACAGACTAAAACTCTTTCTGTTTTAGTGGAAAAAGTAAAAAATGAGACAGCATTTTTTTTCATTTTAAAATTAAGCTTATATTCAACATTTTTTGGCCGAACTCAGGATGAACTTACACTGAACAAAATGTACACACATGCTGCTGGACACTGTCTCTGTCTCTCACTGTCTCTTCTTCATTGTGGGCCACAGGTTCAGGAGCTGGTGGAGGACATAAAACATGCCCTCGATAGCAGACTGAAGGAGCTTGACTGGATGGATGAAGAGACCAAAGAGGCCGCAAGAGCCAAGGTAAACAATAGAGATGTACACAGTAAACAACATCAAACATGTGCACAAGGTGTACAGTTAAAGACTGTAGCCCAGCTGTTGATGCACAGTTTGCGCTTGCCCAGAGGTTAACAACTGGCAGGCCAGTCCAAACCAAGCACTTCTACCTTTATATTTAATTGCGACCTTTGTATTTAAAAGAGCAATAAGCGATTTACTTCTTTGCCTTCCAAAGCAACTAGTATGGCAATGTTCTTACTGTACATGGGTGATACAGAGCATCTATACTGCCTCCTAGTGTTGTGGAGAGGCAATCGCCATTTATACTAGTACATTAGCACATACTGAGACACAACGGTAAAACAGATATAAAACATTGTGGCTCCCAAAGTGGTTTGACTTTCATTGAAAGGACAAAATGGCTCCTCTGAACATTTGGGCTGCCAACCCCTGGCTTAGTATGTAGCAGAAAAGCTATTAGCATGTATGATGTACACTGTATGGCCAAAAGTGTGTGGACACCCCTCCTAATTGTTGAGTTGAGGTGTTTCAGCCATCCTTACTACTAACAAATGTAAAATCAAGCACATAGCCTTAGTCACTCAGTGACTTTAAACGTAGCACTGTCATAGGATGCCACCTTTGCTACAAGTCAGTTCAAGAAATTTCTACCCTGCCAGAGCTGCACCAGACGACTGTAAGTGCTATTATTGTAAAATGGGAGCATCTAGGAGCAACAACAGCTCGGAGAGAGAGCGGGGCCTTGAGTGCTGAAGTGTGTAGCACATTAAAAATGGCCTATGCTTTATGAATCTATCACTCACTCTAGAGTTCCAAACTGCCTCTGGATGCAACATCAGCACAAGAACTGTGTGTCAGGAGCTTCATGAAATGGGTTTCCATGGCCGAACAGCTGCACAGAATCCTTAGAGCTCTATGCGCAATGCCAAGTGTCGGCTGGAGTGGTGTAAAGCATGCCACCTCTGAACTCTGTAGCAGTGGAAATGTATTCTCTGAAGTGATGTGTTATACTTCATCTGGCAGTCTGTTGGAGGAATCTGGGTTTGCTGGATGCCAGGAGAATGCAACCTACCAGAATGCATAAGTTTGGAGGAGGAGGGATAATGAACTAGGGCTGTTTCTCAGAGATGAATACTTTGTTCTAGGGAAACTTACTGAGTCAGAACTGTTTGTCTCTGCAAGCTCCCTCACAGAAAGTTATTACAGCAAGGGTTATGAATGCACTGGGTAATGCCTGAAGACACTGTTTCACAGTAGTTTTCAGATAAGCTTTTGGACCTGGGTTCCTGCAAGCTGATAAATACTATTTTTTGACCACAACTTAAAATCTTTGTTTGTAAGGCAAAATAGTTTAGTTTTTTCCCCCTATTTTACCCTCATCGACATTACATATATAAAATGTGTAGGTACACTGGTGGTTTTTGATACAAATACAAGGCTATATTTGCATGGTAGTAAATAAAATGCTATATTTGCATAGTGGTTCCTGGTTCCTATCACCACCACTGTAAAGGAATTTAAGCCTGCATGTTTCTCTACAGTGAACCACTGGATTATGCATAAGTTTTGAAAAGTTGGAATCCACTTCTAAGTCATGAATGAACAGAGAACTTTTTCTCTCCATTTAAAGAGTCCTCTTGCCAAAACTGGAAATGTGAAGTGCCAGCCCCACTGTAAAACAAGACAATCACTTCAAATTAACCTGCCAAAAAAATCCAATTCTGAGGACAAATAAAATAAACTCAAAGCTGAAAATAAAAGATCCACCAGAGGAAGTTGGACCTCATAAAGTGGTCAGTGAGTAGAAAAACAAGGTAGATGTTTTAATGAAGTTACAGTGAGTGAAAAATACAGTGAGTGTGGTTTTGTATTTAGTGTTTATGTACTTGAACTTTTGAACAAATTAAAGAAGTGGCAAGTCATGAATAGGCACACATGAGCCTCATAACAACACTAACAACACTGTAAAAAATGAGTCAGACAAACTAAAATGATACGGTAACTGATAACACAGATCTAGTTAACTGAACTTGAGGGCACTAGAGTTCACTCAACATAAACGTTTGGTAAAAATGTTGATTTTGTTTATTTTCTCACTAGCTGAGACTGCTTCCGTTACACATTCCCACCAGAAATCCCAGACAAAGCTGTCACTTTCAACAGGAGATTGTGAGTTTGAACCCCAGTGATGCCATAGCCATCCGTAAGTGGGCATTCCTAAAGGAGAAAATGCCTGGAAGGATGGAAACTCCCAGCTAGCGTTCTACATGCATTCTACATTGTTTACTGAGATGCAGAACTAAAAAAAATAAGTTAGGAGAATCTTTGACTAAACAAACAAGTTTGAGTTGAATGTCCTCAAGTTAACTGAAGAAAAGCAGTTATAATTTTAAGCTGACGTTAATTTTTAACAGTGAATCTCCATTACTTAAAATAACTAAAAATGGACAGTGAGGGTAAACAGAGAATTATAACTTTGTGTTTATTTTGATGATTTTATTTGTAATGATTGAGATATTCATAGGTAGCATATAAACGACAAGAATAACAGTAAAGACGAATTGTGTTTATTTTCATCTCTTTTTTTCTCTCTGGTCATCTCTCTCTCATGCAAACACATGCACAGCTCCAGCATATGATGGTAATGACGGGGTATCCAGACTTCCTGCTGAAGCCAGAGCTCATTGACGAGGAATATGGGGTAAATCAGACTCACTGTGGGTCACCAGGTGTCAGATACAGCTTTAAAAGGGATGCAATGTAGAGGTCAGTAGTGTTTAACTTCTCTTAATCGTGCTGTCTTGTCTTCTCTCCTTTCTTAAGTTTGATGTCAGTGAGAAGACCTACTTCAAGAACATTCTCAACAGCATCAAGTACAACATCAAACTGTCTATCAAGAAGATCCACAAGGAAGTGGACAAGACAACGTGAGTGTTAACGATGACATACGAAACGACCCACACAAAAGAACATAACATAGCACGATCAATTACAAACCAACAAGAAAAAACATCACAACACCTACCGATGCAACAAAAAACCCACAACCCAGTGCGAAATGCAAAGCAGGAAAAAATTAACCAATCCAGCCAATCCTACAGAGCCCCACTACTGACATCCTGTGGAAATAAAAATAATGCGTGGCCACAACTTAGTAAGGCATGGGAACGAGATCCTAATGCGTGGCCACAACTTAGTAAGGCATGGGAACGAGATCCTAATGCGTGGCCACAACTTAGAACAGCGTGGGAACGAGATCCTAATGCGTGGCCACAACTTAGTAAGGCATGGGAACGAGATCCTAATGCGTGGCCACAACTTAGTAAGGCTTGGGAACGAGATCCTAATGCACAGCCACAATTTAGTAAGGCGTGGGAACGAGATCCTAATGCGTGGCCACAACTTAGTAAGGCTTGGGAACGAGATCCTAATGCACAGCCACAACTTAGTAAGGCGTGGGAACGAGATCCTAATGCACAGCCACAACTTAGTAAGGCTTGGGAACGAGATCCTAATGCGTGGCCACAACTTAGTAAGGCATGGGAACGAGATCCTAATGCGTGGCCACAACTTAGAACAGCGTGGGAACAAGATCCTTATACACAGCCACAACTTAGTAAGGCGTGGGAACGAGATCCTAATGCGTGGCCACAACTTAGTAAGGCATGGGAACGAGATCCTAACGCATGGCCACAACTTAGTAAGGCTTGGGAACGAGATCCTAATGCGTGGCCACGACTTAGTAAGGCATGGGAACGAGATCCTAATGCGTGGCCACAACTTAGTAAGGCTTGGGAACGAGATCCTAATGCGTGGCCACAACTTAGTAAGGCTTGGGAACGAGATCCTAATGCGTGGCCACGACTTAGTAAGGCATGGGAACGAGATCCTAATGCGTGGCCACAACTTAGTAAGGCATGGGAACGAGATCCTAATGCGTGGCCACAACTTAGTAAGGCTTGGGAACGAGATCCTAATGCGTGGCCATGACTTAGTAAGGCATGGGAACGAGATCCTAACGCATGGCCACAACTTAGTAAGGCGTGGAAATGAGATCCTAATGCGTGGCCACAACTTAGTAAGGCTTGGGAACGAGATCCTAATGCACAGCCACAACTTAGTAAGGCGTGGGAACGAGATCCTAATGCGTGGCCACAACTTAGTAAAGCATGGGAACGAGATCCTAATGCGTGGCCACAACTTAGTAAGGCTTGGGAACGAGATCCTAATGCGTGGCCACAACTTAGTAAGGCTTGGGAACAAGATCCTTATGCATGGCCACTACTTAGTAAGGCATGATCTTGTTTCAACGCCTTACTAAGTTGTAGCCATGACTTAGTAAGGCATGGAGATGAGATAATTAAGTCATGGCCACAACTTAGTAAGGTGTGGGAACAAGATCCTAATGCGTGGCCATGACTTTGTAAGGCATGATCTCATTCCCACGTCTTACTAAGTCATTGCCACGCATTAGGATCTTGTTTCCACACATTAATATGGTGTGGCCACGCATAATCTTTTATAAGGGATTTCACCAGTTGGGCTCTGTACAATCCAGTAAAAAAACAAAAATTTAATATAAGAAAATACATCACAATACATACCGATACAACAAAGACAGCAGTACACAACACAAACTAACGCAAGTAAATATAACAAATACCATCACAACATACGATACACGATACAACAAAAAGCAGCAGAACAAAATGCAAACCAGTGAAACACAAACCATTGCAGCACAATCCAGTAAACCCAACAAAACACAAAACCAACAAAACACAAATGACTGTAAACATCACAGTACAATCCAACACAACAAAGACAGCAAACCCAGTGCAAAATACAAATCAGCAAAACACAAACCAGTGCAGCACAATTAATTATAAACAACAAAAAGCAAAGCAATGTAACAAAACTATCACACTACATACCGATACAACAGCAGCGCAAAATACAGACCAGCAAAACTGCAAACGAATATAACGAAACCCATCAGAATACAGATACAACAAACACAGCAGTACGAAATACAAACCTGCAAAACACAAACTGATACAGCACAATCCAGTAAACCCAACTGAATCTAACAAAAGACATCAATCAAGGTGCAAAATAACGGCCCTGGACCTCCCGGGACCCCTTAATTAAAATCAACATTATATTTTCTGTTAGAAAAAAAAGACACTCAAATGCAAACTCAGGGAAATAATCTGTTTCACGCATAAAAGAGCTTCTGTCTTTGGTATTCTTAATTAACTAGATGCAGCGCTGGTGTGCCTCAGGGTGGCGCTGTAGCAAATTGGTTCATTCCTTCATAGCCTAGCAACTGTAACTATGTCTGATCTCTCTCTGAAAAACTTTACAATGAGATGTAGAACTAAAAACTTGCCAAATTTCTCAAGAGACTGGAGAGAAGAGTGAATTGTTGCTCATTTCTGAAACCTAAGACAGAAGAGGAGATGTGTAAGATCGCAGTTAATATGTGGAAGAACTCATTACCAAACTAGAAAAGAGCACTTCCAAAAGAATTGTTAAACCAAACACTGTGTTGCCTTTGAAGCTAGCAACAGCGATGCTATGGCGAATGAGTTGACAGCCAATATGGGACCTCCCGAATACCAGGGAATATTTTGCACACTGATCACGATACGTAGCAACACAGCAGAAAACAGCAAAAAAAAACGTTAATCCATTTGATTTTGACCAATGAGGACAATGAGGCTCACCGACATCCAACTACAAAGACAAAGGTCCTATTCAGATGGGATTAGCTTGACGTGGTGAGGTGACGTTAATTTTGCCACAGAATGTCTGTAATTTGTAAAGTTTATGACTGAATCACATAGAATAAGAACTTTCAGCATAAATTACAGAAACTTATGTCAAACATTTAGCTGCTCTCAAGCGTCCATACATTTGATTTGATCATAACTTTGTTTACCCCAACTACCCAGCTATATTAACCCTATTTCACAGCAGTCATAAAAATGCAATTTTTGGAGGTCCTTCAATTTTTGTTCTACAGTAACGTTGCATATGACTTACGAAATTTAAAGTGTGCTGGATTTTAATATTTATACATGAGCAAGCAAGTCAAAATTTTTAAGTGTTTTTATTGCACTTAACTGGCTTTCGTACATGATTGTTTGATGAAGCAAGCTATAGTATGTTGCGTCATTGAATACCAGTTGAGTTCCAAACTGCCTCTGGAAGCAATATCAACACAAGAACTGTGCGTGAGGGAGGAACACTACCTAATAGAACACATAGTGTCAACAGTAAAGTTTGGTGGAGGAGGGATAATGAGCTGGGGCTCTTTTTCAGGGTTTGAGCCCCTTATCTCTAATGAAGGGTGTTGATGCTACAGCACACAAAGACATTTTAAACAATTACATGCTTCCAACTTTGTAGCAGCAGTTTGGGGGAAGACCCTTTTGGGTTCCAGCATGACTGTGTGACTGTACAGGTCTATAAAGACATGGTTTGATGAGTTTGATGTGGAGGAACTCCAGTGGCCTGCACAGAACCCTGACCTCAACCCCACAGAACACCTTTTGGGATGAACTGGAACGTGGATTGCGAATCAGGTCTTCACGTCCAACATCAGTGTCTGACCTCACAAATGCTCTTTTGACTGAATGGGCGCAAAGTCCCACAAACACACTCCAGAATCTTGGGAAAAAGTTGACATAAATAACATATCTATGAGGTCTTGGTAAAGCTTATGCAGTCTGTAGTTTCTTTAGAAAATAAAGCTGATATGAAGTTATCGAACATAAGAGACTGCTCTCCTTTTGTCTTCAGAGTAGCTCCAGTGGCTTTTGAAAGCTTTTAAAAATGTGATAAGCATTTTTTGCCAAATCAGGCAGTGTTTGAAAAGAACAGATCTTCTGTACTGTTGAATAAAACCATGCAGATATTGAAAAAGTCACAAGCCACTAATTCGAGCATATTACATTCTTTCGACTTTTCGTGAGCATATTTTTTATTGGTTTCTGAAGCCCAGCGTTCACACTGGGTATAATGGCAGGTCGCAGCTCAAATTATATTGCAAGGTAATAATTTTGTGCTTGTTATTTTTTGGGAGAAACTGGGTCATAATAAACCCAGAAGTCTAGAGTTAGTGCTGCTGTTTAGCTGGAACTCAGCAAAAGTGGGACAGTTTTTGGTAAATGCACCATCTATACACAGACTAGTCCACCTCCTTGTTTCTACACTCATTGTCCATTTTGTCAGCTCCACTGACCATATAGGTGCACTTTGTAGTTCTACAGTTACAGACTGTAGTCCATCTGTTTCTCTGATACTTTGTTAGCCCCCTTTCACCCTGTTCCTCAGTGGTCAGGACCCCCACAGGACCACCAAAGAGCAGGTACTATTTGGGTGGTGGGTCATTCTCAGCACTGCAGTAACACTGACGTGGTGGTGGTGTGTTAGTGTGTGTTGCGCTGGTACGAGTGGATCAGACACAGCAGTGCTGCTGGAGTTTTTAAACACTGTGTCCTCTCACTGTCCACTCTATTAGACGCTCTTACCTTGTTGGTCCACCTTGTAGATGTAAAGTCAGTGTAGATGTAAAACTGACTTCTTGTTCTTCGTTTTATTATTCTGTACGTATTGTGACATTTTTCCAGCTAGGACCACAAATCTTTGCAGGATTGTAGAGGCAAAACAAGGGCACGGGTGTGTTTGGGACTGATTACATGTACAGTTCTGGGACCAGTTGCACATACAACATATATGTTGTTTCTCCAATAGGAAATAAATGATGAAATGTTGATGAAATTCAAATCTAACAAATGATGTCAGGAAGGACATCTCCTATACTGAGCCTCATAGACATCACATACATACCAGCACATACACACATATTAGCAACCACCTGAGATAAAACAGCAGTGGCCAAGCAACACCTTCTTGGGATAACACAACAATGGCCAAGACACACTTCAGCAAATGCCTAAGATACCGAAGCAGCAGCCTAACAAGACCTTAGCAATCATCTGGGATACTACAGCACTGACCTAACAACATCTAAACAACCGTCTGAATACCATATCAAAAGCCTAGCAACATCTTAGCAACTACCTGTAATGCCGTAACAACAGCCCTGCAACACCTTAGCAACCACCTGGGATACCATAATGGCAGCCCTGCAACACCTTAGCAACCACCTGCAATGCCATAACGACGGCCTAGCAGCACCTTAGCGATCATCTGGGATACCAAAGCAATGGCCTAACAGCATCTAAACAACCTCTTGGATACCATATTAAAAGCCTAGCAACACCTTGGCAACCACCTGGGATACCATAACAGCCTAGAAACACCTTAGCAACCACCTAGGATACCATAACAGCAGCCCTGCAACACCTTAGCAACCACCTGGGATACCATAACAGCAGCCCAGAGTAACAATAAAGCTGACAGATGTGACTTATGGTCTTATTCATGCATTTTCCTGCTCAAAAAGGAACTAAACAAACATTGACGATTGGTTTTATGACATCACAGTCTTCACATATTAAATGAACGCAACAACAACATTCAGTAATCATGTCATTAATGGAGAAGAGCGGATTGAATGGCATAAATAGCCACTTTTTCACTGGCATTAAAGAGTTAACCAGCATTCAGTTTGCAAGTGTCTTTGTCAAAGTGTTGTCTTCTGTCTGCTGCTCATTCTTCTGGAAGCAGCTTATAGAAGTCAATAATTGTGTATTCTGTCTTTTTACTTTTTTGTTTGTTTTTTATTTATTTACTTTCTACTTCTTGGCAGCCAACTTGGACCCAAGACTACTGATCTTCTCACAAAGACTCTCATGTTATCACTTTCAAAAGACTGACCCCCTTTTTCTCATCTTGCGTCATTTATCTTGCGTGACTAAACGGATGCAGAGATGCAACATGCAGTAGATTTAAAACAGCACTGAACTCAAATTCACCTGCAAACATCAAAGGCTGGGCCGAACATTCACAACTCCCCAAATTCAGGCATCATATTCTCACACAAACATACGGCGGTTGTCAGGGTAAACCTGAATGGGAAGGTCAGTGGAGGCAAAAGTAGAACGTCACTTCAAGAAACCAGGTCACAAAGGTTGCAGGGCTTAAAACAATACTTAAAATATCAAGCACAGCTCCAAAAGTCGGTCTGTACATTTACACAGTTGACCTAAGATTAAATAACACTTTTCCCTTATGATTTCTCTGATTTCTGGTTTCATAGTCGCTCTGCATCTGATAAACAGCTCACCACAAAACCAATATTTCAACATTTGAGAAACCATTTTTAATATAAACCAATATTTTTAATCTGTATAAAACAGATTCATGTTTACTTTTTATATCATTAATGTTACACTACTTTTAAAAAAAAATGTTTTATTTAAAAAATGTATTTGTCACAGAGATTTTGGTCACTCAGGACTCTTATTTTACATTTGAACACAGTATTTTCAGCTCTGTTAAACAGCTTGTTTGGGTCGAGGCTCATCAGAGAGGAAGCATCTGAAGGCATGAGAAGGCGAGTCACTCTCGCTCACTATATTTCATTAATTTATTAATAATTTTGTTTATCACACAGCACATAACGTCTATGTGTCACCGGTGTTATGTGCTTTAATGGCTGGGTAATTAAAATAATGCCGTATATCATTTTTATTGCTGATTTTAAATAGTTGCACAAGGTCACCTGACCAACAATGAGAATTTACAAAATCTTCAGTTTTAACCAGAATGTCACTGGAGTCACAGTCACTGGGTTCATACAACACCAGTGACTGTAACATATGTTCGGAATTAAGCTCTCTTTTTTGCATATATGTTAATAGGATATGTTAATGGACGTATTGAGATGGTTTAGTTTTGGGATGAAAGAAACAGTATCCACCTAAATTCCCACTCCAATGTTCCCCAAAACGTGGCTGCATTGTAAAGGATGTTTTTTTATGCAAAATAAGACACAGACTCTCTAGTGGTGCAACTGTATAAGCATTGAACCGATTGTAGGGAGATCTCAAGTTCAGTCCCAGGTGACGCCACTGTCCACGGCTGGGAGCCTGTAATTAGCCTTTCTCTGGCTGGGTGGGTAGGATAGCCCCCCTCTCTCCTCTCAACTTCAAATCTTATTAAAATTCAGTACTGTGCAAAATCAGAGACCATGTAACTGGTGCAAGTTACTATTTTTTCAGAGATTAGGTATAAGATGCCCACTTGCATAGGGAAAGTCAGAGGAAAATAACTGGAGTTTCCAGAACTGGAGATCATAAAAGACTGAAAGATACAGACAAAATGGGACTCCTAGCAACCACCTGGAAGACCTGTAGACCACCAACACTGTCCCATCAGATAAACAGCACTTAAAGCTTTCATCTTTGAGAGAGAGGAGAAAATCAAGCTGCTTCAGATCTGAAAACATCCACAGGTGGATTTGGTGTTTGGGATTACTTGGATTGTAAGAAGCAGAAAAAGCTAAACCAACTTCTAAGACTGAACTTTGGAGGTGTGAAAAAATATCCCTGCAGATTTCAGTGTTTGTGCTTTCTGCACAGATGATTTCAGCATATTTTCATATTGACAATGTGTTTAAACACACAGAATAAACACTGTGTGTGTGTGTGTCTGTGTGTGTGTGTGTGTGTGTGTGTGTGTGTGTGTGTCTGTGTGTGTGTGTCTCTGTGTGTGTGTGTGTGTGTGTGTGTGTGTGTGTGTATTTCCACAGGTGGCTTCTTCCACCCCAAGCGCTGAACGCATACTATCTCCCAAATAAGAACCAGATGGGTAAGTTTCATTGTGTGCTCATATGGGCACAACACACACACACACACACACACACACACACACACTCACACACACACACACACACTCAGATCTCATTCTTCTCTCTGTCATGAGTGGTGGCTGGTTATTGGTGGTGTCTGTGTCTGTCTGAGGATTAGATTTTCCTCTCAGAGAATCAATACATGCAGAGAGACAGAGAGAAAGGAAGTGTGGGGGCAAGAGAGAGAGAGAGAGAGAGAGAGAGGGTGGTGGAGAGAGAGAGAGAGTGTGAAAAAACAGACGGGGAGCTGGAGACAGAAGACAAACACAGCCATTAACTCAAAGCCTTGTTTTTCATCCTGTCTCCCACTCTTTCTATCACTCTTGTCACCTCTCAATTCCCTCCACCCCTCCTCTCTCTCTCTCTCTCTGCTCTCTCTCTCTCTCTCTCTCTTTGTCAAATGAATTTTCGCAGTTTTCCCTGCTGGAATTCTTCAGCCGACTTTGTACGATCCAGAATTCCCACAGTAAGTATTCCCAAAGAGCAAACACTTTGACATAATACTAACCATTTTACATGAGTCCACTTTACACCCCCCATTCTATATGAGTCCACTTTACGCCCCCCATTCTATATGAGTCCACTTTACGCCCCCCATTCTATATGAGTCCACTTTACGCCCCCCATTCTATATGAGTCCACTTTACACCCCCCATTCTATATGAGTCCACTTTATACCCCCCATTCTATATGAGTCCACTTTACACCCCCCATTCTATATGAGTCCACTTTATACCCCCCATTCTATATGAGTCCACTTTATACCCCCCATTCTATATGAGTCCACTTTATAACCCCCCATTCTATATGAGTCCACTTTATACCCCCCATTCTATATGAGTCCACTTTACGCCCCCCATTCTATATGAGTCCACTTTACACCCCCATTCTATATGAGTCCACTTTACACCCCCCATTCTATATGAGTCCACTTTATACCCCCATTCTATATGAGTCCACTTTACACCCCCCATTCTATATGAGTCCACTTTATAACCCCCCATTCTATATGAGTCCACTTTATACCCCCATTCTATATGAGTCCACTTTATACCCCCCATTCTATATGAGTCCACTTTATACCCCCCATTCTATATGAGTCCACTTTACACCCCCCATTCTATATGAGTCCACTTTATAACCCCCATTCTATATGAGTCCACTTTACACCCCCCATTCTATATGAGTCCACTTTACACCCCCCATTCTATATGAGTCCACTTTATAACCCCCCATTCTATATGAGTCCACTTTACACCCCCCATTCTATATGAGTCCACTTTATACCCCCCATTCTATATGAGTCCACTTTATACCCCCATTCTATATGAGTCCACTTTACACCCCCCATTCTATATGAGTCCACTTTATAACCCCCCATTCTATATGAGTCCACTTTACACCCCCCATTCTATATGAGTCCACTTTATACCCCCCATTCTATATGAGTCCACTTTATACCCCCCATTCTATATGAGTCCACTTTATACCCCCCATTCTATATGAGTCCACTTTATACCCCCCATTCGATATGAGTCCACTTTATACTCACTTTACATCAATTTCATACCAATCATTCCATTTCGGCCCATTCTGTGTCAGCCTATATGAAGCACAGCGTACTGCTCTATACCATCCAATCTGTCCCAAAAGTCTGAGATTTTCTTCCAGTCTTCCTGATTGTTAGACAGTCATGGGCTAGAAAGACCTTGGGAAAGTCTTCTGCATTCAAATTCAGCCTCACTGATTTTCTACCTCCCACGTCTACCTCAGCACTGCCATCAGCCCTAATCGTTTGCGATAATGTTGTCCCTTTGCGTGAGTGTGGAGTGTGTGTTTGTGCGTCTGTGTGTGTATGTTGGCTCTCTGGGTCATTGTTAGAAAAGTTCTGGTATGTTGACTCAGACAGTGACAATTAGAGCCTGTGCTGTATGTGTCTGCAGGGCTGTTGAGGGAGTGCCTGTAATCAGAGGTTGACACTTCCATCGCCGTATTGATCTCCCTTCACAGAGTCGGGCAGCAGGCATTAAAATGCCCACACACACACATTTAAAAACAAAAAAAATCCTCACCAACAGCAAACTAAGCTGGCACCTGTTCCCTAAGGCTGACCTTGTTAACACAAGACACTGCACTGCCACCTAGTGGTGACCATGCGGAGTTGCAGGTCCAAATCAAAGTTTTTTTTTCCCCAAGGTCTCTAAACTATGGGGGCATTGGAGCGATCATCGGACACGAGCTAACCCATGGCTATGATGACTGGGGTAAGAAAGTGAGAGTGGGCGAAAGAGATTGTCCTCATTGCTGTTGTTATTATTATCATATGTATTGTTGTAAATATAATAATATTATAATGTAATATTAAAATATTACTACTATTGTCAGTCATTGTTGTTATTTGTAATAATGCCACCAATTGTGTTTGTTTATCACTCACAAATATGTTCAGACACAATGCTCCAATACTTGAAACTGCACTGTTTATGCTCTGGCAATATTAAAAACTGATTACCATCATGCAAATAAAGCTATCTAGAATTTAGAGAGAGAGAGAGGGACAAAGAGAGAGAGAGAGAGAGAGAGAGAGAGAGAGAGAGATATCTGTGCATGTTTATTTCTTTGATATGCAGTAATGAAGAGCTGGTCTGCACAAAATGATTGTAACTGGTCATAGAGTCGTGTGTAAAAGCTTGGGCACTCAGGGTCATGGTTATGGCATGTTTAATGAATATGTTATTTTTTGTGCCAATATATTAATTTCAGCAAATACGTGGAAATTGTGCTCCAACATTTACAGAAAAAAGCCATATTTAAGGCCTAGCAACCACTTGGGATACCATAGCAGTGGCCTAACAATACCTTTACAATCACATGGGATACCACAGCAAAGGCCAAGCAACACCTTAGCAACCACCTGGGATACCAAAGCAAAGGACTAGCAACACTGTTAAAATCACATGGGATACCACAGCAATGGCCAAGTAACACCTTAGCAACCACTTAGGATAACATAACAACAGGATAGCTACACAAGATATGTTAACTTATTTTCACTTTCATTTTTAGAAAATCAGCAGAACTTATAATTTGACCAGGGGCCAAATTTTGTACACGACTGTATCAACTGAAGTTCATATTACTCTGAAATTTATATTTGTGGAAATTTAAACCCATTTTAATTCAGACCTACAGTAACTGTGTTCTCAAATGGTTGGTCATGTGACCATATGTGCGTGTTTTGATAGGTGGGCAGTATGATCGCTATGGTAACTTGAAGCAGTGGTGGACCGAGGAGTCGTACAGAAAGTTCCAGAAGAAAGCAGAGTGCATCGTCAAACTGTACGACAACTTTACTGTCTACAATCAGCGGGTGAGCACAGAATTTATGTTCTGAATGCACTTTTTAGGTTGTTACTGTAAGTATATACTGTATGTACAATATAGTGAAAAGCGAAAATAAGTCACTACAAGTATATACTGTAAGCAAGGTGTGAAATACAGGGGATCCTGGGGGGTCTGGATGCCCATCTCTTGGACGCCCTGAATGTTTCAAAATTAGAATCCCTGAAAATAAACTTATTTTGATGTTATTTTGTTCAGTTCAGTTACAAATTCAGGGAAAGGTCATTGTTTAGCTACTTCACCCACAATCAGCAAGCCTCTGTCTTTGGTATTCTTAACTAACTAGGGCAGGGGTGCACAACTCCAGTCCTGGAGGGCTGGTGTCCAGCACAGTTTGGCAGCTCCCCTACACAAACACACCCACTAAACCTGGCAATTAACGCATGAGTGTGTTTTAGCAGGTAAGTCACCAAACTGTGCTGGACTCTGGCCCTCCAGGACTGGAGTTGTGCACCCCTGAACTAGAGGGTGGTACTGTTGCAAATCGGTTCACCCAGTAGGTCCTTCATAGCCTGCCAACTGTAACTATGCTCAGGATACCTCTGAAGAACTTTATAATATGCCACAGTATATTTGTAATTATTGGTAAAACTTGCCCATTTTCCCAAGAGATTGGTGAAAAGAGTGAATTGTTGCTCATTTATCACACCGAAGACAAAAGAGGAGATGTGTCAGATCTCAATTAATGTGTAGACGAGCACTTTACCAAGCTAGAAAAGAGTATTTTGAGAAGAATTGTTAAAACAAACATTTTGTCGCCATTTAAGCTAGCAATAATGCCACTATGGTGAGTGAGTTAGTAGCCAAACAACATTGGAGTAGCCAGCCAAGACGGGACCCCCTGAATACTTTAAGTATGTGCAATGCAGAGAAAAGCGAAAAGAAGTTAACCCCACCTACCATAGAGCAAGCAAATATGACACATCTCTGCTAATTTAATGCACAGTTATTATTTATGTACTCAATTGAACATACGGAGGGAAAAAAACATAAAAAGTGTGCACAAGTTTTGATATTCCCTTTGACTGAGAGCATAGCCTCAAAACAATCTTTGCCTTTTTAACATAAATGTCATATTGCATGCACATCATGAAATTTAATCACAGATTTTCAGCAGTATTCATGCCTGGTGATGGCGAAGGCCATTCCAAAACCTTAATCGGTCATATCCTGAAGTAGTTAAAGGTTTATTTTGATGCACTTCATAATGCACCACATGTTTTCAATGGGAGGCATGTCTGGACTGCCAGCAGACCAGTCTAACACCTGCACTCTATTACTGCTAAGCCTCGCTGTTGTAACACATGCAGAATGGGGCTTGGCATTGTCTTTCTGAAACAAGCAGGAATGTCCCTGAAAAAGATGTCATCTAGATGGCAGCATATGTTGCTCCAAAATGCTTTTGTACCCCTGAGCATTAATGGTGTTTTCACAGAGGTGCATGTTACCCACTAATACACCCCATACCGTCACAGACAGTGGCTTTTGAACTTTACACTAGTAACAATCGGCATGGTGTTTCTTCTCTTTGGTGTGGAGATCACAATGTCTATTATTTCCAAAAAAAAAAATGATACAGACCACAATACACATTTCCCTTTTGCATCTCAGATGAGCCCAGAGAAGTTGGCGGCGTTTCTGGATGTTGGTGATATTTGGCTTCCGCTTTGTGTAGTAGAGGCTTAACTTGGGAATGTGGGACTTTTGGGAATGTGTTGCAGGCATCAAATTTGGAATTAGTGTATAATTACAAAACAGTAAATTTAATAAGGTAGAAAACAAAATGTCTCCTCTTTGTTCTGTTTTCAACTTAATGCCTGAAAAAGAGATGTTTTAAATCATTGCTTTCTGTTTTTTATTTGGTGTCCCAACTTTTTGGAATTGAGTTTGTATGTTTTTTTAAATAAATTCATATATAGGCAGCAACCATCTACATTTGTTTGTCTTTGAAACGTTAAACATGTAAGCATGAGCCCTTTAAATCAGGGGTACACAAACGTTTTGTCTTTGGAGGCCAAAGGGGAATGTTTGTGGTGGGCTGAAGGCCAAAAAGACAATATACAAATAAAGAATGTTTACAGGCTTCAAATAGTTTATTAATCTGTATTTTACAACATTACACTATAATTTGTTACTACATGTTGCCAAATCCAAAGTATGACCCAAAACAAATATGCTTAGGGTCCATTTTTGCCCAGCGGCCCAGCGGGTCACTATTTTGAGTGGCCTAGATTTGCATGAAAATGTCCTGAAGATTATGAAAATCATATTAATCAGCGGTGTCAAACCTTTGACTTTATGTCCTATACATGCAAATGCCTATATCATGAAAAATGTATATTTTAGCATTAAAAAAATTAGTTTTATGTAACTAAGCTGCAAAACCAGCCCATTTTAAATTGTTTTTGCGGTGTCACGAAAACCAGCATATTTGCATGTCTCCGCTTATTCAGCTTACAGCAGTTTAGCCCCGCCCACTCACACCGAAGTTATAAAGAGTGTTTCAGATCCGACTGAACGAGGCACAACACAGGGCAGCCACTCAGAACAGAGCTCATTTACATATATTAGTCTTAGAGGAACAGTAATATAAACAGCCTGCTTAATTCTAAGGAATTAAAGAGAGTTTGGAAAATATTAATGTAAAAATGAATTATGACTGTTTTTGTGCATAAAATCACACAGATGTTATGAATAAAATACAAAAAATATATAGGATATGAGCCCTTTAAGAGTATCTATATGATTTTACAGTGTGTGTGTGTGTGTGTGTGTGCGTGTGTGTGTGTGTATGTAGGTAAATGGTCGTCTCACTCTTGGAGAGAACATCGCTGATCTCGGGGGGCTGAAGCTTTCCTACTATGTGAGTCCCAATCTACCTGTCAATCAATCAGACCAACAGGACGTTAGAGCTCCTACTGCCATGGCAACCAGCCTAACGTCTTATTACTGCTGACCTCAACACACCCTGTCATTTTCTCTCCTGCGCGCTCATTCTTCACCCACAGATGGACAGTGATGCGATTACATCTCTTTCTTCTTACTCCCACTGTTCTCTTTTCTTCCTTTTTACTTCTTCCTCACTGTGCTCTATTGCAGTCACTTAGTCTTCAATGTCAAATCACTACATATATATATATATATATATATATATATATGTAGGAAATATATACATACACATACACATATATGTATATAGGAAAGGAAGAACATGCTTTACTTTTAATGTAAACCAGTGTAACATATTTCCAATCAATTTTGGCCCATTTGTTTTGGTCCATTCATCATGAAAGTCAATGAAATTATGTAAAAAATGTAAAAAATGACAACAACGGAGATACAAAGTGTTGTATATGTTTGTGTGCGTGTGTATATACACATATATATGTATATATACACGCAGTGACCAGCCACTTGACCGGCCACAAGTTGGCCACCTTCTTGTATCTACATTCTTTGTCCACTGAGCTCCACTGACCATATAGGAGCACTTTGTAGTTCTACAGTTACAGACTGTAGTCCATCTGTTTCTCTGATACTTTGTTCTCTTTCACCCTGTTCATCAGTGGTCAGGACCCCCACAAGACCACCTCAGAGCAGGTGTTATTTGGTGCTACAGTAACACTGATGTGGTGGTGGTGTGTTAGTGTGTGTTGCACTGGTATGAGTGGATCAGACACAGCAGTGCTGCTGGAGTTTTTAAACACCTCACTGTCCACTCTATTAGACACTCCTACCTTGTCAGTCCACCTTGTAGATGTAAAGTCAGAGACGATAGCTCATCTGCTGCTGCACAGTTTGTGTTGGTCATCGTCTAGTCCTTCATCAGGACGCTGTTGGCTGGATGTTTTTGGTTCTCGGTCCAGCAGTGACACTGAGGTGTTTAAAAACTCCAGCAGCACTACTGTGTCTGATCCACTTGCACCAGCGCAACACACACTATCCACCACCCAAATAATATCTGCTTTGTGGTGGTGTGGGGGTCCTGACCACTGAAGAACAGGGTAAAAGGGGGCTAACAAAGTATCAGAGAAACAGATGGACTACAGTCTGTAACCGTAGAACTACAAAGTGCTCCTATATGGTCAATGGAGCTAACAATGAGTTTGGAAACAAGAGGTGTACTTAATGAAGTGGCCGGTCAGTTTCTTTCTTTCTTTAACACATCCCTGTTATTTTCTCTCTGCAGGCGTATCAGAAGTGGATAAGAGAACATGGTCCAGAGAGGCCACTTCCAGGCCTTAAATACACACACGAGCAGCTGTTGTTCATAGCGTTCGCCCAGGTACCTGCACACTGCACAGAACCACATCTTTACCATGTCAATCACCCACCGGCAACTTTATTAGAAACCGCTTCCTTGTAGCTCCCTCTTGAGTTGCATAAAGTGTCTTGCAACAGTTGCAAGCATCTCAACTTTGGGGTACATGACACAGTCATATGACAACGTATCGTGTGTTCATGTTCACCGACATTCTTTCAAACCATTGATTTAAACGGATCAATGGACAGAAAATAAAACAGGAGATGGTTTATTGGCTGGGTGAGAAGAAGACTTTACGTAAGGTTGGTAATTATGTATTTTGTCAGTTTCCTGAGCCATGACAACAAAAGGTTCTCGAAGCTTACATTTATGTAACCAGCTGATTGTTATTATATTTAGTTGTTAAAGCTTTCTTGCAACTTTTACTGTTATGTTTCCCACTTTTTTTCCTGATTAAAACTTAATAGTTTTTATTTCATGGTTGTTTTGACTGGAGATGAATTAAGTTAAAGGTTGTCTTTGACTTTTGCACAGCATTGTATGTCTCTATGAAAGTAATTAGTTGGTGATATTTTATTTATATAGCCTATTTACACCTACAGGTAGGTGTAGTATACGTAGGTAGGTTGAGCTCATAACATAGTGAGGGGAGAATAAGAGGTTTCTAAGTGGACAGTGAACAGATGTCACATAAGATTATTCAGCCAGTAGATGTTTTGTAATTCTCATCCTTTATGGAGCTAGTTTGGGATGAGCCTCAGGGTAGTAGTTACAGTTCCATTATGTTCTTCTACAACCCCATTTCCAAAAAAGTTGGGATGCTGTGCAAAATGTAAATAATGTAAAAAACAGTTCATCACTGCATCCACAAATGCAAGTTAAAACTCTACCATGAAAAGATGAAACCACATATAAACAGGATCCAGAAACACTGCTGCCTTCTCTGGGCCCAAGCTCATATTAGATTGAATGAATCAGTGCACAGTTTAAAAGCCAGCATCCGTGATGGTATGGGGGTGCATTAGTGCTCGTTGCATGGGTGACTTGCACATCTGCAAAGGCACCATTAATGCTGAATGATACATACAGGCTTTGGCAACATATGCTGCCATCCAAATGATGTCTTTTCCGGAGAAGGTCTTGTTTATTTCTAAGACAAATCAAAACCACATTCTGTATGTATTACAACAGCATGGCTCTGTAGTAAAACAGACTAGGTGGTAAACTGGCCTGCCTGCAAAAAATGTGACAAAAGAGACCCTGAACTTTTGAGCGGCTGAAATCCTGTCTCCTCAGTTCACAAACACTTACAGAGTGTTGTTAAAGAAGAGGTGATGAAACACAGTGGTAAACAGGCCCCCGTCCCAACTTTTTTAGAATATGTTTCTGGCATCAAATTTAAAATCGACATATAGTTTTCAACATTTGATATGTTGTCTTTGTACTTTTTTCAGTCAAATATAGGCTTTTCATGCTTTGCATATCATTGCATTCTGTTTGTATTTACATTTTGCACAGCGTCTCAACATTTTTGGAAACAGCGTTGTATGTTCTCTGTGTTCTCCTGCTATTTTATCCTCAGTGGGTTCCAGATCATCTAGAAAAAAACTACTGGGCACTAATAAAGGCTTTGCCTCCATTCTGTTCTGAACTCAGCATCAGCTTGACCATGGCACTAATATCTTTTACAAATAATGACCAGGTGCATGTTCTCTGCGAAAGGCCCTACTTTGCAAAAATTTTATTTGGTTATTTAACTCAGACATGTCATTATTCACGCTGTTATATGCCACCCTGTTACACAATGCTTTTATTGCAGAATCTTTTGCTCATTGATCTCCTAGTGCTGCACTGTAGTTTTCAATCATACATTTTGTACATCATCACAGTCAGGATAAAACTTCCAATTATGGTAACTTTTCAGGAGAAAACCTTCTATTTATGGTAACTTTACAGCAGAAAAAAAATCTTTTTGCAGCTTTTTTTATTTTTACAGCAAAAAACATTCCTAACTTTGAAAGGATGTTTATTGAAAAATATAGCAAATAATAGTCATTTTTGAACAATTTCCACACTGTAAAAAATGAAAGATCTGCTCAACTTAAAATAATATAGTAACTGATTACATGGCTTTTCTTGAGTTCACACTCAAACTTCATAGTTGAGTCAAAAATGCTCTCAGCTACTGTTTCTAGGACTGCATCTCAGTTAGATAAACAAAATCAAATTTGTGTTTTTTTTACTCAGTTTCACCACTAGCTGGTGCTCCTTCTATCACACAGTCCCACCTGGCATGTTTTCCTCTTGGGCTTCCAGACATGGACAACTATGGTATTGCTGGGATTCAAACTCACAACCTCCTGATGTTGGGGTGAATTATTACAACAAATATTTGTAAAAAACATGAAACATGAAATCAGTTACTATATAAGTTGAGCTGATCTTTCAGTTTTAACAGTACATCCTTCAATTCAGCATGAATTTTTTACAAAAAATGTTCCTACAGCGACAATATGTGTATACTTCTGCCAGATATGGGCAAAACAACAGGCAAACATGTTAGTATTAAAACTGAGACACACTTAGCACACAGTCAGTATGTACTATCAGCCTTGGTTAATCAGAGTATGTGTCCAGTATAATAATCTCCTCCAGTATTTTGTAGTTTGAGAGTGAAAACTCCTACATAGATCACTCTACCAAATTGGTTTAAAGTCAGAAGTGAAAACATACTTCAAACTTTTAACTGACTTGGACGTTAGACTGAAATCTTTTACTCTGGGTCCATATACCTAAATGTTTATTTAATGTAAAAAAATGAATAAACAGTCTATTTACAACAGTATTTTTTAACATTTGTAGTTCAATATAGCCACAATTTATCTATTTTATTGCTTATGGTGAACTGAATGGGCACATATGATATTATGAGACCATGAGAGGCTACTCATAAAAAAAAAATAATAATTTCCAAAAAACATGTTGTGTGTGGGGGGGTTGTCTTACAGTGAAAAAACCATGTGAAAGTAGAAACTGTTTTCTGTTTGTTTTCACAAGGCTATGCCAAGATTGAGGAAGAGCATGACTAACAGATATCACTATATCTCAAACATAATCAGGGACAGGACAGTCAGGGAAGTGATGAATATTATTAAATATATAAATAATACTATAATATTACTGTACAAAAAATACTACGATATTATTGTAAAACAGTGCATATTTTCAGAATACTATGCTTATTGAGAAAAAGCTGGAGCTTATTAGTTCAATTTATTGTATTTGCAAAGGCTGGATCATGTTTTCTGCATCCGGTTGTTGTGTGAATGATGACGGAAGGGGTGCACATACTTCACGACGAAGACACGTTTTATACTCGCGGCACGTGTTGCAGCTGTCTCCACTGTCATATCGTCGCTGTCCAATGAAAACCATGTATCTCCATTTTTGTTGATTTTTAGTTTTCCACATCATTTCAACACACCAGCTGTCCTTTATGCTGTGTGACAATTTCATGATGAACGGACCAATCGAAATGCTTTAAAATCACTTGGAACAAAATCTCTTTACATTGACTTACATTGAAAGGTAAGAGTGTTTTTGCCTTCTCCTGTAAAGTTACTATTTTGGAGATACTTGTTTTTCATTGGACAGCGACGATCTGTAATCATCTATAAATGGTCTGCGTAATTAGCAGATAGATGTAAGTTTACTATATGAAAATTTGGTTGGCCTAGTCCCACTAGTCTCTGAGTAACTGAGAGAAGTGTTGCAACCATCTCCAGTCTTTTCTACTCTGATGATAATTTTGTATATATTTAGGTTATTAGTATTTCTGTTAATGCATTGGGTTTAACCCCTTAAATGGCCAGGGTCCACTGGCAGGCCCAAGTTTTATTACACACTTCTATTACCTAAGAATAGCTCAACCAGTTTGCATTGAAGCCCCTGTAGTAACTGAACAATAAACCTTAGTATGTAATAAGCCTGGGATTTTAAGGGGTTCAATAGATCATAACATAATCCTTGTAAATATCTGTGGGACCACAGTTTGAACTGATTTGGTAGAACGGTTCTTATAGGACTGGTAGCCTAGTAGTAGAAGAGGTCACCCAACAACCAGATGGTCGCAGGTTCAACTCTCAGTACTGATGACACTTTACCCTCCTACTGCGCCTAGCGGCACTACTCTGATGGGGAACACTGTGCTGCTGGCCATAGTTAGGTGGCAAAATGACACGTTTCTCTTGTAGGATCAATAAAGTAACATTACAGAGCTCACGTAACCGCTGCTAATGTGTTCTATTAACTTTAAACAATTAACAGTTTTTGATTTCACTGTCCTAGTATGTGTAAAGGACACCGTAACGTTAATCTTTCCTCTTCTGTCTGTAACAGAACTGGTGTATGAAAAGGCGGTCTCAGTCCATATACCTTCAGCTGCTGACCGAAAAACATGCCCCAGAACACTACAGGTAAAATGCACGTACATGTAAACACACACACACACACACACACATACACACACACACACCATCACACTCTATCACTTTCTCCACTGTATGGTAATACAGAATAATTTCATACCTGTTCCTCCACTTTCAGTTGAACATTGTAATATAATTATGTAGTAAGAAGGCCTGGGTGATAGCTAAGAATAATTAGTACATTATTTTCTTATTAGAAAATCGGTTAACACTTTATTTGGAGTGGTCTTTTGTAGATGATTAATAAACTCTTAACAGATATCAGTAGCACGTCAACAACAACAAGTAGCAGTAGTGAAGCATCTGGATATCTTGTAGATGTTCTGTTGATACATTACTTACATTAAGTACATGTACTGTTAATATGTTACTTCCATTACCTAACCCTGGCCCTAATACTAACCCCAACCTTAACCTCAACCCAAAACCTAGCCCTAACCCTGGCCCTAATACTAACCCCAACCTTAACCTCAACCCAAAACCTAGCCCTAACCCTGGCCCTAATCCTAACCCTGACCTTAACCTCAACCCAAAACCTAGCCCTAACCCTGGCCCTAATACTAATCCCAACCTTAACCTCAACCCAAAACCTAGCCCTAACCCTGGCCCTAATCCTAACCCTGACCGTAACCCCACCCAAAACCTAGCCCTAACCCTGGCCCTAATCCTAACCCTGACCGTAACCCCACCCAAAACCTAGCCCTAACCCTGGCCCTAATCCTAACCCTGACCGTAACCTCAACCCAAAACCTAGCCCTAACCCTGGCCCTAATCCTAACCCTGACCGTAACCTCAACCCAAAACCTAGCCCTAACCCTGGCCCTAATCCTAACCCTGACCGTAACCTCAACCCAAAACCTAGCCCTAACCCTGGCCCTAACCCTGACCATAACCTCAACCCAAAACCTAGCCCTAATCCTAACCCTGACCGTAACCTCGACCCAAAACCTAGCCCTAACCCTGGCCCTAATCCTAACCCTGACCGTAACCTCAACCCAAAACCTAGCCCTAACCCTGGCCCTAATCCTAACCCTGACCTTAACCTCAACCCAAAACCTTGCCCTAACCCTGGCCCTAATCCTAACCCTGACCATAACCTCAACCCAAAACCTAGCCCTAACCCTGGCCCTAATCCTAACCCTGACCTAATCCTAACCCTGACCGTAACCTCATATGGTTTTGACATGTTACTGAGAGTCTGTTGAGTGTTTGTTTTATCTAAAAAGGACCACTCAAAATAAAGTGTCACTGAAAATCAAGATTATCTAGTACACATATTGCCATGTTTCATGTGAATAAGCATGGGTTCATGGCTATTTCTTCTCATGAAATAACAAGCACAAAAGACTTGCATGCTAATTGCTCCCTCTTGTGGAGCACTGGTGAACTGAGACTATTAAGGCCATAGATGGGCCATAGATGTCAAAACTTGGTCAAAACACAAGGAAAACCCCACCCCAATGATACGAAAATGCTAACTTCTGCTAGCATCACCATAGGATTCCAGCAGTTTGTTAGCGCTAAGCTAACTGCAGTTTGCATGAAGACTTTCTGAAGAGGCTGAGGTTAGCTTCTTATTTGAATTTTTCATTCCACCCTTAAATGACCTTTAAGGTCAAAAAAAGCAGTTCTAGATGAAAGAGACATTTGAAGCTTCTGAAATACATTCCATGTTTTACTTGAAGTTTATGACAGACATGTTAGCATATATTTTGCCCTGTTTCACAGTGACTCTTTCAGCAGTGAGCTCTGGTGAAGAGCTGTTGCTGCTGTTTTCCATTTCTAACAACCCATTGAGCTGCCACTCAATCAGTCAGTGGCGTATCTAGAACTTCCAGAAGGTGTAGAGTGATGTTTTTCCTTATGAAGTTGGTCCCGCCTATTGGAAATCAAAACTTTGCAAAACATGACTCTGTAATTATGCTGATAATTAATCTAAAATGTTAGGCCTTCTCTTTAGCTCCTGAAGCCCTAACCAATAAGAGAGCTCGCTTATTTATCTCTACATAGAAAAACAATTTCTGATTGGCCAATTTTCCACTGGGCATTTCAAGAATTTAACCCTTTTGTTTCCATCCTTTACTTCACAATGAAACAAGAGTGGTGCTGTAATAATTGCAAAAACAAGAATGATTCTGTTGAATAAAAATGAACTAAAAACATTAAATACATTCTTTTTTTTTATTCGCAGAAATCGTTAGGCCTTCACTGAATATATCACAATTTTACAACTGATCTGAACCTGTAGGGCACTTAAGCTGTATGGAAAATGCTGGGAATTTTCCTCAGACAGTATGGCTCACTCTGGAAAAATTAACAGTAGCCTCATTAATGCCCCGTAAAAAATCATTGTTTTAACACTAAAAGGGAATAATATATGAACATTATTTAATATCATTTGGCAAGCTGTTTAAATTCGTCCTCTCTGTTGTCTTTACTAACATGGCAATTACCATATTATGAGAAAGTATCTCATAATTATGACTTAATGTCTCATAATTATGACTTAGTATCTCCTAATAAAGAGAGTTTCTCATAATTATGACATAACATCTTGTGATACTGACTTACTGTCTCATAATGAGAAACTTTTCTCACAATCAGGGGATGCTAAGTCATTGTTATGAGATATTAAGTCATAATTATGAGATACTAAGATGTATTTATGAGATATCAAGCCATACTTATGAGATGCCAAGTTGTTGTTATGAGATATCAAGTTATAATTATGAGATTGTAAGTCATAATGACATAGTAAGTCATTATTCTTAGATACTGGCATAATTATGAGATAGGATGACATAATTATGACATACAATGTCATAATTATGGGAAACTTTCTAAATGGCTATATATATTTGTCCAGTGGTGGAAATGAGCTTTCATACCCAGGAATTATTATAACTTAATTTTTTTTTATATCCCCACAGGGTTATCGGCAGCGTGTCTCAGTTTGACGAGTTTGGCCGTGTGTTCCACTGTCCAAAGGGGTCACCTATGCATCCTGTCAACAAATGCTCTGTCTGGTGACCTTTCGACCTTCACTGTTCTTCATCTGCCCTACTTCATTTGTCTGTCTTTGATATCACTGTCGCAACCAAGAGAGACAATGACGTCGTCGAGGAAGTGCAGGACGAGCTCTGGTATCAGCAGTTTTCAGCAGTTTCAGTTCTCTTTCTTTAGGGAGTCTCGAGAAAGTTTACAGAGAAGAACAGTTTACAGACAAAAACCTGATTTTAAAACCTTAGACCATGAATATTTAATCCAACAAATGTGCAATTGATCACTGGAGCAGTCAGAAATTCCCAGTCTGAAAGAAGATAAACAAGATTGACCTTCATCTTTTTGGGCCAGATGTGGTCTTGTAAGTATAGTGGGGACAATCATGGGAAATCTTGGGCCAAATGTGGGTGGGAATCATCAGGGTGGGAACAAATTAAGGGGGCTGTGATGCACTCGTCAACATTATCTGACAAACAACTAGCCTGCCTGTAGCCCATGGATGTAACATCAGTTAGCATGGCTGAAAAGTAGCCAGTTAAGCGTGTAGATGTGTGTCGCGTGAGCATAGAACACATTATATGCTGTAAAATTTAACTGGGCTTTTGCCCAGTAGCTTGTTTTGCTTGAGTTATCAGTTGCACTCTGTTAGGAGGGGATTTTGCCACAGTCCAATAAAAAGTTGTCCCCAGACGTGCGTTCTCGTTACGGGATCACGTCTGGCCCCACGAGACTAGATCCACCAGTTAAAACTACCTTGCCCATGGTTAACAGCAGTTAAAACACTGTCTCTTTGGCTAAAATGATGCAGTAGTTGGAGTTTCCACTGCTTGCTCTGCAGAATTTCTTCTCTGAGGCCTCACACTAATCTTCTATTAAAATGCTGTAGTAGGTAATGGAGATCTGTGGTCACCAACCCTCTTCCCGGAGCTCTGCTTTCCCTGGTTCCGACTTGCATCTGATCAAGCCAATCAGGGGCTTCTGAAGAAGTTCATTAGCTAGAGCTGGTGTGGCAGATTGTAGTTGGAAATCCAGAAGTCCTGGGTTGGTGACCACTAATATAGGTCCTTTTAGGACGCTTATCAAATCTCTCAACTTTCCATGCACCATTTGGCTGTGGGAATCCTTGTCTTTCTGAGTAGAAGCTCTGGAAGATATTTAGATCTACCGACTCAATGTTCCACTTCCAAGTACAGTGGAATGCAACATATCACTCCCATCAATCATTCATACAACACCTACCACATCTCCCATTAACCCTCCATTGCTCAACGAGTACTGCATCTCCTATTAACCCTCCATTGCTCAACGAGTACTTGTCCCATGAGCCATTCATTGCTCTGAGTACTACATCTCCCATGAGCCTTACATTGCTCAACAAGTACTACATCTCCCATGAACCTTCCGTTGCTCAACAAGTATTACATCTCCCATCAGCCTTCACTTGCTCAAAGATTACTACATCTCCCATCAGCCTTCATTTTCTCAGTTTACTACATCTAGTTTACTACAGAGTTTACTACATTTCCCCATCACTTTCTCAGCGTTTACTACATCTCCCATGAGCCATCACTTTCTCAGAGTTTACTACATCTCCCATGAGCCTTCACTTTCTCAGCGTTTACTACATCTGCCATGAGCCATCACTTTCTCAGTGTTTACTACATCTCCCATGAGCCATCACTTTCTCAGCGTTTACTACATCTCCCATGAGCCTTCACTTTCTCAGAGTTTACTACATCTCCCATGAGCCTTCACTTTCTCAGCGTTTACTACATCTCCCATGAGCCCTCACTTTCTCAGCGTTTACTACATCTGCCATGAGCCTTCACTTTCTCAGAGTTTACTACATCTCCCATGAGCCTTCACTTTCTCAGAGTTTACTACATCTCCCATGAGCCTTCACTTTCTCAGCGTTTACTACATCTCCCATGAGCCCTCACTTTCTCAGCGTTTACTACATCTCCCATGAGCCCTCACTTTCTCAGTTTACTACATCTAGTTTACTACAGAGTTTACTACATCTCCCATGAGCCTTCACTTGCTCTCCCGTCAGCCTTGATTTCCTCAGTTTACTACATCTAGTTTAGATGTAGATTACTTCACCCCCCAGCCCCTTTCAGCTTAGCCAAAGTTTATTTCCCCTGTCTCCTGTAAGCTTTAGTTCCTCAGTGCTGCTTTTCACTGCATCATAAGCTTGAACATTATTTTTTTCTACATTAAATGATCTTAAAGATTAATGGTGAAATTATTTATTTTTGTATTTTAATGCACAGTGTTCATGATTTATGATGCTCTCGATATCAGTCTTGCTTCATGTATGTTTCTTGAGTCTTGTCGTGATGTAGTACCTGAACAGATCCGGTGAGTGTGTAGTCGTTAAGAGACGGTTATTTTGTCATGAGCTACATTTTTTCTCAAACACATTTGATTCAGCTAAACTCAATATTTTTAAAAGCCACTTGAAATCGCAAAAAGTGTATTCCACTGGCTTTTCAAAACAGCCGCATAATTAAAGGGTTAAGATGGAAAGCCGATCAGAGTGGTTTGGTGTCAAATGATCTGTTTTGGAGAAGCAGCTGTTTTGGTACGTTATTGTTTCGAGCTCCTTCACAGCTCACAGTAAACGTTCTCAGTGCTGTCTCTTCATGTCTAGAATGGCAAGGATCATCCATACGGCCTTCCACTTTGAGCTGCCACCAGTATGAAAAGTGCTCTGTGATGCCCATTAAAGGGAAATTCTATTTATTCAAAGTTAAGATGTAAACAAACTCACAGTTGTTTGACATGAAAGAAAAAACTTCACAGTGGTGGTGATAGGAACCAGACGTCCACCTCTAAAAGCTCCCTCACAGAAAGTTCCTACATGAAATGGTTATGAATTCACTGCCTGATGTCTGAAACATTGTTTACAATAAGTTTTGAGAGGATTTGGGCTTTTTCTGCTTCTTCTAGCAGCACTTCAGCTCTGCCATCTGCGTAATTGGCCTGTTTTAACATCTGGCTCTTTACAGATGCTCACATCATTCCTGCAGCAGGAGCTGCTGCTGATCCTGGCAGACGAGGAATAAAATAACAGTGTTAATTAATTCTGGCACATGGAACATATTGCATCAGTGACCTGATTGGTTATGTTCAAGTTGACAAACTAATCATAAAGAAGCAGATCTTAAGTAAGGCTTATTATTACTGCTTTGACTCTGATTAAGTGTCTGTTTTCATTCAAAGTTGGAGTTGTTTGGATCAAATAGTGGCAAATATAAGAGAGACGGAGAGCTTGAAAGATTTCTGACTGATGAACTTGCACTCCTGTGTAAGTTGTACACTCCACTTTGTCCTCCAAATATCACAAGTTTATTCTTGTAACTTTACAACTTTATTATATTATGATTTTATTTAAAGAAATACCACTTTTTTTTTTAATATTATGATTTTATTAAAAAAAACACAACTTTATTCTTGAAATATTGCGACTTTATTCCCAAAATATTACGACTTATTTCTTGAAATATTTTTTTGTTTTATTCAAAAAATTGACTTTATTCTCTAAATATTACAACTTTTTTCTCAAAATGTTATGACTATTCTAAAAAATATGACTTTATTCTCAAAATATTATGACTTTTCTCAACATATTAAAATTTTATTCTAAAAAATATGACTTTATTTGCAAAACATTACTACATTAACTTTTTCTCAAAATATTATTTTATTCTGTGAAATACAACTTTACTTTAAAAATATTACTTTTTTCTCAAAATATTACAATTTTATTCTCAAAAATATGACTTATTTCTCAAAATATAACAGCTTTTTTCTCAAAATATTACAATTTTATTCTCAAAAATATGACTTATTTCTCAAAATATAACAGCTTTTTTCTCAAAATATTACAATTTTATTCTAAAAATACTTTATTCTTGAAATATTATGAATTTGTTCTATTCTATTCTATTATGAAGTATATTATTTTAATTTTTTAACAGTGGCCCTAAAACACCATCATAGAAAACAGCCTAAAATGAGTCAAGTCACTTTCAACTGCATGACAATTTTTTTAAGGTTAAACTGCTGAACCATTTTTTACAGTGTGTTTTGTTGTCATGGTGACCCCTGGTTCCTATCACCACCAGTGTAAAGCAGTCAGAGTCAGTTATCCTCTCTGAAATGAAGCATTTCACATCAAACCACTCTGAATAATCATCTCAAACACTGAATTTATGTAGAAGTTTTTCGTGTCAGGAAAACAGAAATAAATAAAGATTTTACAAAGAGCCATCAGGGAAAACAGAAATCCCCCAAATGTATAACCACCTTATTATTGCTCTGTATTGTCTTGTTACTTTTTTCTTATCATAACTAAATATCATGATAAAATCATAAACTGTGATAAAAGGTGAGGTACCCATTGCGATATTACCTTTTTTGTATTGTACTTTGGTTTTCAAACCTGACCCGCTGGTTTTTGATTTAGTGTGCAACAATCTGGTTCCCCCTTCTGGTTGACTGTGGAAGTGCAGCTGCTGTTACTCCATTGCCTCAATGTCAGTTTCGTTCTGGCCTTATTTGGATTCAGTCAAATTGTATTTGTGTGTGTTTATAAATGGGATTTGTGTCGAAACACCAACATTTTTGTGCACGACTTCCGAAGGACAGTGTGGAACTTGACAGACTGTCCCCAACCTGAAGGAATTCCCAACTTCATCCTAAGAACCTGATGGACAGCGTTAGGAGGGCAAAGCTGGAAAATCAGGACATGCATGACTGCGACTCCATGTTTTTTCTCGGATAACGGACAGGCCTCATGTTTCCCTGTCCTGTGGGGACTGGACTTTGTGTGGTGGGATTTGAGAGCTTTTCCTGTTGTAATTTTTTTTTTCCTTTCAGTTATTCAGTGTATTAAGAAAATGCAAAACAAGAAAAAAAACAGAGGAATCTGTGTTACAGTCAAACAGATGTGTATATACTAACAGCCTGTTCACGACCAGGTATTTAACAAATTTACTATTATGATGAAATGTTTAATTTTCTATGAAGTGTCTACATAAAAAAGTACTTTGTAAAGACGAGGTAAACGAGAAATACACCCACTAAACGTATCGGCCATATAAAGCATGTTTTCCACTATGAGTCTGAAATCATCACCAAAAACGTACAGACTGAACTACACGATCGACCAGGATTCAGAAATCAGATGCTGGAAATGGTGAACTTTGTTAATTTTTCAATAAATAAAATGATAAAAGTCATAAAGGCCTGGTTCAGTTGTCAATTAAAGGCAATGATGTGCAAATCATTTAAACCCTATATTTAATTGAAAATAGTACAAAGACAATATATCAAATGTTGAAACTGAGAAATTTTATTGTTTTTTTTTATATTTGCCCATTTTGAATTTGATGCCAACAACACATTCCAAAACAGTTGGGACGGGGCAACAAAAGGCTGGTAAAATTGTGTAATGCTAAAAAAACACCTAGTGGTTGATTGGCAACAGGTCAGTAACATGATTGGGTATAAAAGAGCATCTCAGAGAGGCGGCGTCTTTCAGAAGTAAAGATGAGGAGGGGTTCACCACTCTGTGAAAGACTGCACCATCAAATAGTGCAACAATTCAAGAAAAACGTTTATCAACATAAAATAGCAAAGAACTTTTGTTTTTCATCATCTACAGTAAATAATATCATTAAAAGACTCAGAGAATCTGGAGAAATCTCTGTATGTAAGGGACGAGGCCAAAAACCAGTATTGGCTGGCTGTGATCTTTGGGCCCTCAGACAGCACTGCATTAAAAACAGACATGATTCTGTAGTGGAAATCACTGCATGGGCTCAGAAACACTCTGAAAACCACTGTCTGTGAACACAGTTCATCACTGCATCCACAAATGCAAGTTAAAACTCTAAAACCCAAAGAAGAAAGCACATATAAACAGGATCCAGAAATGCTGCCACCTTCTCTGGGCCCGAGCTCATTTAAAATGAGGTGAAGTGGAAAAGTGTTCTGTGGTCCCACGAATCAACATTTGAAATTCTTTTTGGAAATCATGAACACTCCAGGATAAAGACCACTCAGCTTGTTATCAGTGCACAGTTCAAAAGGCAGTATTCATGATGGTATAGGGGGCATTAGTGCATATGGCATGGGCACATCTGTGACGGCACCATTAATGCTAAATGATATATACATGTTTTGGCTACATATGCTGCCATCCAGACAACGTCTTTTTCAGGGAAGGCCTTGATTATTTCAGTAAGACAATGTCAAAACCACATTCTGCATGTATTACAACAGCATTGCTCTGTATTAAAAGATTAAAACCCACTAAGAACATTTGGCACATTATAATATGAAAAATACAACAAAGGAGACCCCGAACTGATGAGCAGCTGAAATCCCACATCAAACAAGAACAAGTGTTGTTAAAAGAAGAGGTGATGAAACACAGTGGTAAACAGGCCCCCGTCCCAACTTTTTTGGTATTTGTTGTTGGCATCAAATTCAAAATGGGCAAATATTTTTCAATAAACAATACAATTTCTCAATTTCAACATCTGATTTGTTGTCTTTGTAGTATTTACTTTTAAAAATATGGTTTACATGATTTGCAAATCATTGCATCCTATTTTTGTTTACATTCTGCACAGCATCCCAACTTTCTTGGAAATGGGGTTGTAAATAATCCCTTTAAAAGCACTTTTGAAAGCTAATATAAAACACACAAAGTCATTAACAGGGAAAATACAGTGGTGTGAAAAAGTGTTTGCCCCCTTCCTGATTTTTTACTCTTTTGCATGTTTGTCACATTTAAATGTTTCAGATCACCAAACAAATTTAAATATTAGACAAAGATAACACAAGTAAACACAAAATGCAGTTTAGAAATGAATTATTAAGGGAAAAAGAAATCCAATGTGGTTTATCACATCTTTGGAAAGCTGAGTTCAATTTCCCTAGCCACACCCAGGCCTGATTACTGCCACACCTGTTCTCAATCCAGAATTCACTTAGATAGGACCTGCCTGACAAAGTGAAGTAGACCAAAAGGTCCTCAAAAGCTGGACGTCATGCTGCGATCCAAAGAAATTCAGGAACAAATGAGAAACAAAGTAATTGAGATCTGTCAGTCTGGAAAAGGTTATAAAGCCTTTTCTAAAGCTTTGGGGCTCCAGCGAACCACAGTGAGAGCCATTATCCACAAATGGCGAAAACATGGAACAGTGGTGAACCTTCCCAGGAGTGGCCGGCCGACCAAAATTACCCCAAGAGCACAGCGACGACTCATCCAAGAGGTCACAAAAGACCCCACAACAACATCCAAAGAACTGCAGGCCTCACTTGCCTCAGTTAAGGTCAGTGTTCATGACTCCACCATAAGAAAGAGACTGGGCAAAAATGGCCTGCATGGCAGAGTTCCAAGACTAAAACCACTGCTGAGCAAAAAGAACATAAAGGCTCGTCTCAGTTTTGCCAGAAAACATCTTGATGATCCCCAAGACTTTTGGGAGGATCCTCTGTGGACTGACGAGACAAAAGTTGAACTGTTTGGAAGGTGTATGTCCCGTTACATCTGGGGTAGAAGTAACACAGCATTTCAGAAAAGGATCATACCAACAGTAAAATATGGTGGTGGTAGTGTGATGGTCTGGGGCTGTTTTGCTGCTTCAGGACCTGGAAGACTTGCTGTGGTAAATGGAACCATGAATTCTGCTGTCTACCTAAAAATCCTGAAGGAGAATGTCCGGCCATCTGTTCGTGACCTCAAGCTGAAGCACACTTGGGTTCTGCAGCAGGACGATGATCCAAAACACACCAGCAAGTCCACCTCTGAATGGCTTAAGAAAAACAAAATTAAGACTTTGGAGTGGCCTAGTCAAAGTCCTGACCTGAATCCGAATAAGATGCTGTGGCATGACCTTAAAAAGGCGGTTCGTACACTGGACTCTGGAGTGGTGGAAACATGCTATAGAGTGATGAACCATGTTTCACTATCTGGAAGTCGACGAATCTGGGTTTGCATTGTGCCAACAATAAAGTTTGGGGGTTGGGGGAGGAGCTTGCAACTACATATTAATGGCTATTATTAGGCAACATATTATACTTTTTGAACTGGATGTCCAACAAGCAGTTGGACACATACTTCTGGGCATATAATGTACATTAGAATGCTGCATGGTACATTTGTGAGCAGAAGCATGGCTGGAGGAATAGCTTTACATGTTTTATGAACCATACAGTGATTTCAGACACATTTTGGTCTCTGAGCCAGTAGAGCCTCTGGCTGAGTGTGAGGATGGTGGAACATGATATTATTGGTTAGTATTAATATTAATAGTAATATTTTTCCTACCTAGTGGTGCACAGTGACATCAAAAATCAGATGTTTTAAAGACAGATAAAAGTCACTACATTTAGGTGGAAATTTATGGAAAAACTAAAACTGATGAATTGTGCTTAATATGAACTGACAGGTTAAAAATTAAATTCATTTGAGATTGATTTTAAAGTAGTCTACTACATCATTCAGGGTTTATCAAAACTTTCAGAAAAATGTCATTAATTATACTCATTAATCTCTTTTTTCTTTATATTTCTACTATTAAGCAGTAACAATAATTGAAGAAAATCACACTCCTAAAAAAAAAAAATCAATTAAAATAAAAAATAAATAAAATGTTTGTTATGTTCTTTTTATTTTTTATTTTTTCATTTTAGTGTCTAAATTGAATATTTTTGTAAAAAAGACAGAAGGGTCTGTCGGTACACGAAGCTCCTGGAACGTCTCATACAGTGACATAAACACACTGTGACTTTTATTTTGAAAAGAGGGCTTTTGTGCTGCCTTTTGCGCCGCTTTATTTTGGCGCTGCCTTCACTCGTTCAGTTTAGGCGGTAGGACTTTGTTTCCTGACAGTTCGTTATTATTTTCAGCTCATAAAAATGTGAATATTTATCAGAATAAGATCTTCGGACTCCAGAAGCGCCGGTTATCTGCGTGTTGATGGAGCCGGGCTGTAAACCCTCCGCGGCGGAGCGAGAAAAGGTAAAACACAGCAGAAAACCAGCTTCGACCAGTCGCTCACCAGTTCACTGTAAACGCTTAGCAACGCAGCAAAGGAGGAAACGGTACGATACGATATCGATATTCACCTAAATACGATACGGCACGATACGATTCCTCTCAGAAAGGCATAACTGATCAGACAATACATCCACCAACACATCCACCAGTACATCCACCAATACATCCACCAACAACACATCCACCAATACATCCACCAGTACATCCACCAACACATCCACCAGTACATCCACCAACATATCAACCAGTACATCCACCAGTACATCCACCAATACATCCACCAGTACATCCACCAGTACATCCACTAATACATCCACCAGTACATCCACCAGTACATCCACCGACACATCCACCAGTACATCCACCAGTACATCCACCAATACATCCACCAGTACATCCACCAGTACATCCACTAATACATCCACCAGTACATCCACCAGTACATCCACCGACACATCCACCGACACATCCACCAGTACATCCACCAATACATCCACCAACACATCCACCAGTACATCCACCAACACATCCACCAGTACATCCACCAGACGGGCCAGCCTTTTCTCTTCTGGTCAGTTCAGTATGGAAGCCCGGTTCCGAGCACTTCATTTAAAAAGTCCAGCATCCAGTTAAGTTCTGATTGTTTCATTAATATGTGAGGTGCTGTGCCGTTATTGTGATGCAAAGTCACTTTTTGAGACACTAGTTACTGGGCCACTATTTTGCAAAACCTATCTCATTATTTTGTTATACTAAGTCATTATTTTGCAATGCTGTCATCATTTTGCAATGCCTATCTCATTATTTGCTGTACTAAGTCAATTTTGATATACTAAGTCTTGCTATACTGTCATTTTTTGCTGTACTAAGTCATTCATACTAAGTCATTATTTTGATATACTAGTCTTATTTGCTTCTAAGTCATTATTTTGATATACTAAGTCATTATTTTGATATACTAAGTCTTATTTTGCAATGCTGTCATCATTTTGCAATGCCTATCTCATTATTTTGCTGTACTAAGTCATTATTTTGATATACTAAGTCATTATTTTGCTATACTGTCATTATTTGCATACTAGTCTATTTTGCTCTAGTCATTTTGATACTCATTATTTTGCTGTACTAAGTCATTATTTTGATATACTAAGTCATTATTTTGCTGTACTAAGTCATTATTTTGATATACTAAGTCATTATTTTGATACTAATCATTTTGCGTACAAGTCATTTTGATATATCATTATTTTGCTGTACTAAGTCATTATTTTGCTATACTAAGCCCAATCCCATTTCACCCCTCGCCCCTACCGCTTAGTCCTACCCCTCCGTTTTACACATTTCATGTCTAGGGGTAGGGTGTCCCGATTTGTGTTGAGATGGAGGGGGAGGGTGAAGTGTTGGGGCTACATGACCCTCCAAACAGAGGATTTTCAGAGACTCCCCAACACTCCAGAGAGTTATGGGGGAAAAAAAATAAAACTGGCAAGACGGAGAATAAGAGACCAAAGAAACCCACAAATGTGAGGATTTTCTGTTAAAAAATTATGATAATCACTGTTTTATCTTAGTTTAATGTTGTTTCAGTGTATTATGGTCCTTTTCTTCATAACAAGCATAAAAAAATGGCTAGTAGTGCTGACGTCTCAGTAGCTAACTAGCTATATTTCCCGTTCCACCTTAAATGGTGCAGGAGTTCTGATGCCTGAGGCAACAGAATGTAACTGCTGCAAATATCTGACGTCAGCTTCATATCACTGAAGAATTAGGGGTGGGTGATAATAAATAATTGCCCCCCTCTTTGAAGATCATATGATGCCCTAAATGTAACTAAAGCCCAGCAGTGAGGAGCTGAACTTTACCCTCCTCTGCTGTCACTGCAGGCTGGCAGGGTCGCCTACAGAGCAGCGCTGGTAGCTGTTAATGAAGTGATGCTCTTTTTATTTGAGGGTCCCATTTCAGAGGGAAGATCTCAACCACTACCCTGTAACTCAGTTCCAAGGGGTTAGGGCGACACTCGAAAACAAGGGGTAGGGGTAAAAATAAGAACTGGAATTGAGCCTAACAGAGTTTAAAAACAAGCATGATAGAACTACAAAAATTAGAGACATAATTTTTTAGTTCCCAGAAATCATTCAGCCTAGAAAGACCCCATCTGTGGATAATAACTGCTTCAATAATTGTTCAGACAATTATGTAAAAATTGTACAGGATTGTTATCATATTACATTGTACATGTTACCTTTTGTCTACCCTCTGTGTGTAGGAGGTGCTGACGGTGCCCCCTAGGGGCAGGACGATGTCCGACAGCGCGTCCCTGACCTCCTATGCTGAATACCCTGCTGGCCGACCTTTCATCAACACCCGCTTACCGCGCTCACTAAGACCTGTTAAAGCTTTTCCAGAGAGCAGCAGCGGAGGTAACACACTCGCCCGCACCCCCCTCCCACACACACACTCACCCGCACCCCCCTCCCACACACACACTCACCCGCACCCCCCTCCCACGCACACACACACACTCACCCGCACCCCCCTCCCACACACACACTCACCCCCGCACCCCCCTCCCACACACACACACTCACCCGCACCCCCCTCCCACCCACACACACTGCACCCTCCTCCCGCACCCCCCTCCCACACACACACACTCACCCGCACCCCCCTCCCACACACACACTCACCCGCACCCCTCTCTCCCACCCCTCTCTCCCACACACACACACTCACCCGCACCCCTCTCTCCCACACACACACACTCACCCGCACCCCTCTCTCCCACCCCTCTCTCCCACACACCACACACACTCACCCGCACCCCTCTCTCCCACCCCCCTCCCCACACACACCACACACACTCACCCGCACCCCTCTCTCCCACGCACGCACACACACTCACCCGCACCCCTCTCTCCCACGCACGCACACACACTCACCCGCACCCCTCTCTCCCACTCACACCCACACACACTCACCCGCACCCCTCTCTCCCACACACACACACCACTCACCCGCACCCCTCTCTCCCACACACACACACTCACCCGCACCCCTCTCTCCCACACACACACACACTCACCCGCACCCCTCTCTCCCACACACGCACACACACTCACCCGCACCCCTCTCTCCCACACACGCACACACACTCACCCGCACCCCTCTCTCCCACTCACACCCACACACACTCACCCGCACCCCTCTCTCCCACCCCTCTCTCCCACACACACCCACACACACTCACCCGCACCCCTCTCTCCCACACACACACTCACCCGCACCCCTCTCTCCCACCCCTCTCTCCCACACACACACACACACTCACCCGCACCCCTCTCTCCCACACACACACACTCACCCGCACCCTCTCTCCCACGCACGCACACACACTCACCCGCACCCCTCTCTCCCACACACACACACACACTCACCCGCAACCCTCTCTCCCACACACACACACACACACACACTCACCCGCACCCCTCTCTCCCACACACGCACACACACTCACCCGCACCCCCCTCCCACACACACTCACCCGCACCCCCCTCCCACACACACACTCACCCGCACCCCTCTCTCCCACACACGCACACACACTCACCCGCACCCCCCTCCCACACACACACTCACCCGCACCCCCCTCCCACGCACACACACTCACCCGCACCCCTCTCTCCCACCCCTCTCTCCCACACACACACACACACACACTCACCCGCACCCCTCTCTCCCACGCACGCACACACACTCACCCGCACCCCTCTCTCCCACTCACACCCACACACACTCACCCACACCCCTCTCTCCCACTCACACCCACACACACTCACCCGCACCCCTCTCTCCCACACACACACACACACACTCACCCGCACCCCTCTCTCCCACACACACACACACTCACCCGCACCCCTCTCTCCCACACACACACACACACACACACTCACCCGCACCCCTCTCTCCCACACACACACACACACTCACCCGCACCCCTCTCTCCCACACACACACACACACACTCACCCGCACCCCTCTCTCCCACACACGCACACACACTCACCCGCACCCCTCTCTCCCACACACGCACACACTCACCCGCACCCCTCTCTCCCACTCACACCCACACACACTCACCCGCACCCCTCTCTCCCACCCCCTCTCTCCCACTCACACCCACACACACTCACCCGCACCCCTCTCTCCCACACACACACACACACACTCACCCGCACCCCTCTCTCCCACCCCTCTCTCCCACACACACACACACACTCACCCGCACCCCTCTCTCCCACGCACACACACACACTCACCCGCACCCTTCTCTCCCACGCACGCACACACACTCACCCGCACCCCTCTCTCCCCACACACACACACACACCACACACTCACCCGCAACCCTCTCTCCCACACACACACACACTCACCCGCAACCCTCTCTCCCACACACACACACTCACCCGCACCCCTCTCTCCCACACACACACACACTCACCCGCACCCCTCTCTCCCACACACACCCACACACACTCACCCGCACCCCTCTCTCCCACACACCCACACACACTCACCCGCACCCCTCTCTCCCACACACACACACACACTCACCCGCACCCCTCTCTCCCACGCACACACACACACTCACCCGCACCCCTCTCTCCCACGCACACACACACACTCACCCGCACCCTTCTCTCCCACAGCACGCACACACTCACCCGCACCCCTCTCTCCCACACACACACACACACACACACACACTCACCCGCAACCCTCTCTCCCACACACACACACACGCACACACACTCACCCGCACCCCTCTCTCCCACACACACACACACTCACCCGCACCCCTCTCTCCCACGCACGCACACACACTCACCCGCACCCCTCTCTCCCACGCACACACACACTCACCCGCACTCCTCTCTCCCACACACACACACACACTCACCCGCACCCCTCTCTCCCACACACACACTCACCCGCACCCCTCTCTCCCACACACACACTCACCCGCACCCCTCTCTCCCACACACGCACACACACTCACCCGCACCCCTCTCTCCCACGCACACACACACTCACCCGCACCCCTCTCTCCCACGCACACACACACACACACTCACCCGCACCCCTCTCTCCCACACACACACACACTCACCCGCACCCCTCTCTCCCACCCACGCGCACACACTCACCCGCACCCCTCTCTCCCACACACGCGCACACACTCACCCGCACCCCTCTCTCCCACACACGCGCACACACTCACCCGCACCCCTCTCTCCCACACACACACACATTCACCCGCACCCCTCTCTCCCACACACACACACACACCCGCACCCCTCTCTCCCACGCAGGCAAACACACTCACCCGCACCCCTCTCTCCCACGCACACACACACACTCACCCGCACCCCTCTCTCCCACGCACACACACACACTCACCCGCACCCCTCTCTCCCACACACACACACACACTCACCCGCACCCCTCTCTCCCACGCACACACACACTCACCCGCACCCCTCTCTCCCACGCACACACACACACTCACCCGCACCCCTCTCTCCCACGCACACACACACTCACCCGCACCCCTCTCTCCCACGCACACACACACACACTCACCCGCACCCCTCTCTCCCACACACACACACACTCACCAGCACCCCTCTCTCCCACGCACACACACACACTCACCCGCACCCCTCTCTCCCACGCACACACACACACTCACCCGCACCCCTCTCTCCCACGCACACACACACACACACACTCACCCGCACCCCTCTCTCCCACGCACACACACTCACACTCACCCGCACCCCTCTCTCCCACACACACTCACCCGCACCCCTCTCTCCCACGCACACACACACACACACACTCACCCGCACCCCTCTCTCCCACACACACACACTCACCCGCACCCCGGTAACGCACTGACCTGTCCATCACACTTGCTTTGACGTGTTCAGACTGTAGCATTCACAAAGGCAGCACCTGCACACCCTCCTGTCACTCACTTAGACGTGTTAAACATTTTCCCCGACACATCAATGAAACATTTCACCCAGAACCGTCCGAGTGTCCGTCCCTCCTTCTACTGCTTTTACAGCTTTTTAAAGACACTGGTTACCGGGCCATTATTTTATAATACCGTCTCATTATTTTGCAACAACTACCTCATTATCTCGCAATACTAAGTCATTATTTTGCAATAACTATCTCATGATTTTGCAATAACTATCTCATTATCTTGCAATACTAAGTCATTATTTTGCAATAACTATCTCATGATTTTGCAATAACTATCTCATGATTTTGCAATAACTATCTCATTATTTTGCAATAACGATCTCATTATTTTGCAATAACTCTCATTATTTTGCAATGCTAAGTCATTATTTTGCAATAACTATCTCATGATTTTGCAATAACTATTTCATGATTTTGCAATACTAAGTCATTATTTTGCAATTTAGCAAGTGCATGGATAGGGTATTATTTAATCTGTTTAATCATTACTTTTTATTTGTTTTTCATTTAAACAATATGTGAAATTCAAGGAAATCCACTGTAAAAAATATATGTTTTTATAATTTTTTTTTATAAATAAAGTTCTGTCACATCTCCTAAGGGTGTGACGCAACAAAGAGGAAGCAAAACTGCCCGCTCAGACGCCAGACCAGAACAGAGAGGAATTTCTGGTTAATAACTCATAATAACAAATACGTCAATCACAGATTTAACAGTTTATTCGATGCTCTGCGTTTTCATCCAGCCATTAAAGTTGATTTCAACATGCAAAAAAGTAAAGAAAACATAACTTCAGGGATGCTTTCACTGTACTTTCACTGACCCTGTAGGCCAGCAAATCACAACTAACAAGAACTGATCTGTCCACTGGTGGGCCGCTCCGCATTGACTAATACCAAAGGCCTTTTATAGCCGGCGCCAACAGGAACAGCCAATCACATGCTGGGGAAAGCGGGATGTCAGTCATGCAGCAATGCCAACCTGAAAACACTCAAGACAAAAGGACATAACAGTTCAATAAACATATGTTTGGTATACGTAGGAAGTAAACGACCTGCAAAAACAAACTTGGGCTAAATATTTAACACTGTTTCTGTAATTTTGAGGGGTAAAATCTGCATCTCTCAGACTCAGACTAGTCACTTTTACGATGCAGCGAGACAGCCAGTTCAGTTGAAGTAGCTAAATTCGCTAATTTTGGATATACAAAAACATGCATTCGGTGAACAGAAACATGCTCATTTGTTTAAAGACCTTTGGAGGAGCTTGATGAGCTCTTCAGTGTATGTGTACATAGGTTTGTTGTAGTGTTCCCCATGACAGCCAGCACTGACACCTGATAGCCCTGACACACTTTACTGCGCAACTACAGCTACAGGGCTGCTCTCCTCTGTAGAAGGAAGGGGGGATGGAAGAAGAATGAGAGAGAGGGCAGAAGGATGGCAAATGGAGGGTGAATCCAGGGCCCTCTGTCAGATCTTCCTCATGAATTATTTACCCCTCTGTCATTACTCTGTGCGACCAGGTGTGGTTTGAGCATTTTGAGGTATTATCATTATTGCTAAGCTCTGTACATTCACTGGCCACTTTATAATCACAGACCTAATGAACAGCAACTTAGTTGTTATGTAATAGTTTAATGACTGTTAATATATTTAGGGCTGCTTGATTACGACAAAAATCATGGTCAGAATTATTTTGGTCAATAATGAGATCAGGATTATTTAACATGAGTTTGGAAACATTGAAATTTAAAAAAAAGAAAACTTTTTAACAGTGGATTTCCTTGAATTTTAAATATGATTCAAGTGAAAAACAAATAAAAAGAAATGCTACAGATTAAAAAAAAATATATATATATATATATAAATCAAAATATACAAAAATAAAAACAGTACAAACACACAGCATTTGATATTTTATCTTATGAATCTTGTTGGTTTTTTTGTAATTATGCTTATTCCAAATATAATATCTGCAACACATTCTAACAAAGTTGGGACAGGAGCATGTTTATCACAGTGTTACATCACCTCTCCATTTAACAAGACTTAATAAACATTTGGAGACTGAAGAAAACGGGCAAGTTACCCATGATATGGGCTCTAATAACACCACCTTACTATGACAGACCCTGGCTTTGGAACTTTACACTGATAACAGTCTGGATGGTCCTTTGCCCAGAGAACGTGACATTCATTATTTCTATAAATATTCTGAATGTTTGACTCGGCAGACCACAGCTTTCCACTGTGCATCGGTCCATTTCAGATGAGCTTGAGCCCAGAGAAGTCGGCGGCGTTTCTGGATGTGGTTGACATATGGCTTCCACTGCGCATAGTACAGTCTTAACTTGCGTTTGTGGATGCAGCGACGGAAGATATTTATGGACAACAGTTTGTCAAAGTATTCCCAAGCCCATGTGGGCTTGTTCCCAAATCCTTCACAGAAGCATGCCACTGTTTTAATACAGTCCTGTCTGAGGTGTTGAAGGTCAGGGGCGTTCAGTTATCATGTACTGTAGAGGATGTCCTACCTTAAATCCTTGCAAACACTTCTTGAGGAACTTTGCTCTTAAACAGTTGCACTATTTGCTGAGGCATTTTTTTGTGGTGGGCTTCAACCCATACTTGCTCATTAAGAACTCGGCCTTTACTGGTTGCTCCTTTTATATCCAAGCATGATTACCTCTTTTAAAATGTTTTCTGAACCTTTAACATAGAGCTGGGCGATATGGCCAAAAACGTTATCATGATAAACAAAATTCATATCGTTCGATATCGATACATATCGCGATAAATGTCAAATCATGATTTCGTTCACGTTTGAAGGCTGATTTTGCTCCTGGGTGGTTAACTGTGGTTTTAAACTATCACTTATGGTCCGATCATGACAAACACTCGGCAAACAGTGGAACATTTCACTAATCTGTCTTGGGACAGTGGGAGAAAGTTTCTGAGCTGTTTTTATCAGCTGGAAAAGCACAGCTGCAATTTTTGTAATAGTCATGATTTAAGAAAGAAAACAGATTATTTTAGCTGTCTGGTGTCGAGCGCTCGGCTACCCCGCTACAAACGCTAAACAAGTGGCCAACAACAGAGCTAAACTCTTTAGTTTCTCAACAACGTCAACTCGGTTCGGTCGGTCACTGTGGTCACTCCCACCACATCCATGTCAGAGCAGATCACAGTATTCAATTCACCGTGTTGTGCCGGAGCGCTGCTTCAAGTTAGCGAGCAGCTAAAAACAGCTAGCCTGGAAAGATAGCGCTCTCCCGCTCTCCAATGCCTCACAGCTTCCTCAGTTTACTTTTTCAACATGAACCACCACTTTCTTTCACTTTCGCTGCTCGAGAATGCACTAATACTAAAATATGACGGTTTGGCGCCGTAACACGGCGCTGCAGACGTGATTTAACACCGCTAAAGTTGTTAGGATGTACAGAAAGAGGTGAGTTCACTGTAGGACAGTACAGTTACACCACTGACCTCGTCACTCACACTCGGTCACAGGAGAACAGATCGCCGGTCGCTCCACTCAGACAGGAACTGTATAACTCCGCGTTTCAGATGTTGCTAAAGTATATTTGGCGACCCTTTTTTTTACTCGTGGCCCCCTCCCTCTCTAATCAAGTCGAAAAACTCGGAAGTGCGCCCTCTCCTGGCGACAGCAGAGTAGTGACGCTTTCCTTGCAGTAGAAAGCGCCACCAAGGCTTTCGCTAAAACGTGGAAGTGTGAGAACGGTGTATCATATCGAACATTTATCGAACCTGTCTTATCGCTCTATCGAGGAAAAGTTATATCGCGATACTTATCGTTATCGTTTTATCGCCCAGCCCTACTTTAACAACAGTGTTGCAGGCATCAACTTCAGAATGAGCGTATATTTACAAAAACAATGAAGTTGACAAGACACATACTGTCCCAACTCTTTGGAACTGAGTTTGTAAATGAACAGTGGTCTCTGACTTTTGCGTGGTATTGTGTACAGTGGTGGTTCTGTATGGTAGATGGAGTTTAGTGAGTTTGAAGCACAAGGTAGGGCTCTCCATAGTCTGTATGGATCTAAAAGCATTTTTTTCTGTGTGTTTGTATAGCAATCCTCTCTGCTCTGAAGAACCTGCAGGAGAAGATCCGCAGGCTGGAGCTAGAGCGGACCTTAGCAGAGCAGAACCTGCAGAAGCTCTCGCGAGAAAGCTCTCGCACACAGAGTGTTCTGGAGAGAGAGCGAGAGAGCAGCCATGCGGAGAGACCAAAGAACCAAGGTTACACCCCCATCTACTGTGTGCTTTGACCAACCTTTAATTCATTTGTTTTTATGTTATGAGTGTGCATCTCTCTCTCTCTCTCTCTCTCTCTCTCTCTCTCTCTCTCTCTCTCTCTCTCTGTCTCTCTCTCTCTCTCTCTCTCTCTGTCTCTCTCTCTCTCAAATATGTAGACCTGGTGTCTCAGTTAGCTGCAGCAGAGGCCAAGTGCTCTTTACTGGAAAAGCAGCTGGAATATATGAAGAGGATGGTGAGAAGCACTGAATCGGACCGAACTGCTGTGCTCAAACGACAGGTCTGGTATACCTACATGTATTATAGTACCTGTATATAATATATAGTATTATTACATTTAGGTACTTTATTTACTCCCCAAAATATATGCCACGCAAAATAGCAAAACATTTAAGCTTTTAATGGTCTTAACAACAAATTGTTAGTCAGTAAATTAGCAAACAGATAGAACATCTTAGAATGGAAGATCTTTTCCTTTGGTTTTCTTTGAATGTTGATGTCTTGAGGGTAAACCTGCAGACAGCCTTTTACAGAAAGAAGAGTCAGTATTGTTCCACTCAGACGAGCGCTAGTCCAGAGAAGTCGGCGGCGTTTCTGAATGTAGTTGATGTTTGACTTCCACTGTGCTTAGTGCAGTGGCTTCAAACAGCGGCAAAACATTTCCAGTCTGTTTTTTGTTTAATGTGAGACCAAATGTACCTGTGTTTTGTGGAGAGATGAGGGAAGGGATAGAGGGAAAGCTGATAGAGAGATAACCTATGATGACAGTATGAGTTCACATTGCTCACAGTGTTCTCTGGCTCAGGTGCGTGTGCAGGAGTCGTCTGAGCCGTCTGATGTGCGTTTGAAGCTGGAGAAGCTGGACATGCTGGAGCAGGAGTACCAGAGACTGACCCTCACTCAGAACGCCGCAGAGGCCAAGATTAGAGAGCTGGAGAGAAAACTGCAGGAGGAGGAGCACCAGAGGAAACTCGTACAGGACAAAGCAGCACAGGTTCATATATATATATATATATATATATAATTATGCACTGCATAAATATAGGTGCACTTTGTAGTTCTACAGTTACAGACTGTAGTCCATCTGTTTCTCTGCATACTTTGTTAGCCCCCTTTTACCCTGTTCTTCAGTGGTCAGGACCCCCATGGACCCTCACAGAGCAGGTACTATTTGGGTGGTGGCTCATTCTCAGCACTGCAGTGACACTGAAGTGGTGGTGGTGTGTTGCACTGGTACGAGTGAATCAAACACAGCAGTGCTGCTGTGTTCTGCAGTTTCTAAACGCCTGGACTGAGAGTAGTCCACCAAAGAATAATACCTGCTCTGTGGGGGTCCAGTGGGGGTCCTCACCATTGAAGAACAGGGTGAAAGGTGCTAAGAAAGCATGCAGACAGTCTGTTATTGTGTATGTAATATATATTATATTATATATTACAAAGATAAATATATGTTATAATCGGGATGTTTGACTGATGTTTAACTCTGTGAGGAAATTTGAAGTCTGGTAAAAATATTCAGCCGTGTAAAATTTTAAGTGGCAACCTGTGGTGATGCATGTTCTGCAAATGAATAAGCCTCTATGGGCTGCTGCTGTTTACTCGCTCCACAGTGCAGTTCTGGATGCTTTTCAAATTCAGTAATTCATGGTTTTGTTGTGTTGGCTAATTGTACAAGGCCAATACAGAACAGGGACTGCAGCTGTGTATGTGCATTAGATGTTGATTATTTATGAGTCACGTCAGTTTAGAAGAACATCTGTCATTCCGCTCCGTAAAATAGCAGTTTTCTTCTCGTGGCAGGGGTGCTGAGTTCGGCACAACACCAGCCTGCACGCTGTGAACTTTAGCTCAAATAAAGCTTATTTCATACATTTGTTAGGAATGTATTAAAATGCTCAGGATGTACTGTCATTTCTTGAAGGTGAACTGATTTTGCGAATTATTCAAGCATTTAGAGGTAAACAGAATCATTCAAAGTCGTTGGGTGTGAAATGCGCCTTTCTAAAGAAATGTACTGAGTCAAAATTGTTCCCCATTGTAGTACAAGGAACCAGACGTCCGTATGTCTACACTACAGATATCACCATTTTATCTACTATTAAAAATGACCAGTTAACTATGTGTCTTATAAGGTTTTATGTGTCACGCTGATAATGGTAAAATAGTGCTAAATAAAAACATACATTTTTTGAGGACTATTTTTTTCCTTACAACGCTCTGCATGTACCTCTCCGCTCTGCACGTTTGTGTTGTTTGGGTTGGTGGCATTGCGTTGCATGGTCAGCAAAACTCAGAGCTTATGTGAGCAACGTTATTCATCAGAGGAGCTGCGACAGACCACAGTTCACCTCGCTGTCCTGCCCCGTAAACTGGTGACGCAGAGTAGCAAGTAGTTTGTTGTTGACACCGTCAGTTTCTGTTCACCCTGGGTTCTGCTTTAGTGCCGGTGTTATATCCGAATCAGTTTCCCCTCAATTTCACGTTCCCTTTGGCAAGGGACCTCACGCATTCACTGAACACCACCAAGCGACACTGACACTACGGAAAGCAAAAGGGTTCAAAAAGGATTAAACGGCCGCGTGTTTTCACCCAGTCCCCAGTATAAATTCACCAAAGATAACACAGCATAATTGAGATTCCATTATAAATATTATTTTCAATTTAAGTAAACAGTAAACAGTCATAACGGTTTTGTGTCATAACTTGATGGGATGCAGCTTTTAGAGCCGTTAAATGCTTTGGACGTCTGGTTCCTAGCACTATAATGGTGAGCAATTTAGACTCTTCTAGAGAACTAAACTTCACGCATTTCACACCAAACCACTCTGAATGATTTTGTTCACATCTAAACCATTGAAAAGTAGTTTTACAAAATCGGTGGAGTTCCCCTTTAAGTGCCTAAATGTAGCTAATAGCTAGGCTAGGCTATAAATGTCATGTGAAGGTAGCCTGTATAAACTGTCAAACAGTTGCTGTAGAGCTTTATTTAAGGCTGCTGGACAGTATGTGGTCAGTTCTGTTTGGATTAGGCCATCACGTCATGTGATAACACAGCGTAGGTTCTGTGCAACGTTAGCTAGAATAACATTACACAGCAGGAATTTTACCCATTTCTCCAATTTGAATCACTGTGATAGGCAAAAATTCCTAGTGGAAACTCCAGACGTAGATGTAAATAAACTAATGTAGATGTTAATAAACAAATACATGTGTTTTCGTTACATATACAGTCATATGCAAAAGTTTGGGCACCCATGTTTTGTTGTTTCTTAAAGTGAAAATAAGTTAAAACGTCTGCGCATTTTAATTTTATTACTCTTTCTTTGCTGAATTTAACATATAAGTAAATACGTAAAGTGTGGTCTGTGCAAAATGTTACTATTTTTCCAATTTGTTAAACAAATAAATAGAAATTGTCCACTAAAAATGTTAGTTTGTTCCCTGTAGAGAATGTGTTAACTTATTTTCAGTGGAACATGTCATTCGACCAGGGGTGTTCAAACTTTTGCATACAACTGTTTATAATAAATGCACACATTTATTTGTTTATTTTCTATCTAGCGTGCAAAACATACATTTATTTCATTTTTTTACCTGTTGAACTTCCAAACAAATATCTTTGTCAATCAATCAATCAATCAGTCTATCTATCTATCTATCTATCTATCTGTCTATCTATCTATCTATCTGTCTATCTGTCTATATATCTGTCTATCTATCTATCTATCTATCATGTTTATTGTGGTTCATTTTTACTCAGATAAATTCTGTATGAATTGAGTGAAATGTCCACACTGAATGATGAGTACATGCCGCAGTTCTGGCTCTGGCTGGTTAAACTTAAGATTTCTTTTGTAAGCCATTTGTGTCCCAGAAGACTTCTTTCATTTTCATCTCATTGGTTGCTCTTAAGTTACAGACAGGTCTGGAGGCCAATCGGATTCTGATTGAGTCAGTATCACCCCGCCCACACAAGTCCTCGAAGAATAAAAAGAAGAAAGTTGCCTCAAAGGTAATGAGATCTGACAGACTGACAGCAGCTACTATTAACCAGTGACTACTTTGATGTTATGGTCACTTCAGTTCTGAACTCATTACTGTAGAGATGACCGTAGAGCAGATTCACTTTGGTAAAGAATTGGATTGCAGAGCTTGAAACATTTGTCCGAAATTCAGATTTCAGAGTTCAAATTTCACAAATTAACAGTTTTTACCTCACATTTTCCTCCTGCTTTGGCTTCACAGTTCAGTTTTAATACATATTAAACACTGATTGTGAATTGGTGTCAAATTTAAAATGATTTTTGATATGATAACCACAACGATTGATCAACACTAGGCATCTGGGTGCAACCCTATGAAAGTGAACTGGGCAAAGAGGGGTGGGGTTAATGCTATGAATACACCCACAGTCGAATGACTGGACCTTTCATATAAATTTTAGGTTGTGATTCTTTAGTCTGTATTTAGAGCTTTTTAGCGTCAAATCAGTTAAAGTTTATTTACGAAGCACTTTTTACAACAGGAGTCGTCACAAAGCAGCTTTACAGAAAATCTCGGTCAGTGCTCCAGTGAGCAAACCAAAGGTGTCAGGTGTCAATTATAGCAGCGAATAAGATTTTACAATGAATAAACAATACTGAATACAGAACAAGAAACAAGCCTGTGACAGTATTTAGATTAACCAGTGATAACGTGTGACTGCTGTTAGAGGCCTATCAGAGTAAGAGTAGAAACAGATCTATAAAAATCAATAATTACTAATCATTACTGTTAGAAGCGTATCACAGAGTGAGTGGCATGCAGGCTTTCTGGACAGTGTCGGACAGCAGGAAGCTCCATAGTGGTCAAACTGGTCCAGAAGGCTGGCGAGCAGTGGGCATCCAATCGAGGCAGATGAAGCATCAGCATCAGAGGATGGGCAGCTGTTCAACTCGGCAAAGAAATACACAGGCAGTTAGTTCTGTTTTGGGCGACTGAAAACAATATACAGTGTTAAGAGTGCAGCAGAGACTCCGGCAGGTCGAGCTATTGCAGCCTGGGGAGATCAGGGAGATCCTGAAAGTAGCAAAGACGTGAGGGCAACCTGAGATGTCAGCAGCCCTCCACTCCACTGTCAACAAACCTGAGTGAGTGCGTGAGAGCAGAGGCACGGCAGCACCGACGTTCTCAAGGGACTTTGAACATCAAATTAAGAGTTTTATGAATTGTGACACCCCTGTTATTATTTTTTTATTTACTTGGTCCACGAGCTCATGACTTGCTACGCAGTGATTCACCCAGTGCTGCTTCTGGTCAGTTTCTGACAGAGTTTTGTTGTATTCAGGTCAGTTTTGGGCTCAAAACTTGTGTGTTGATTCAGATTCGG